GAAGCATTGTGCTGTCCCACAGATGAGTAAGAAGGGGCATACTAAACTTCCCCAAAAGCAACGTTTTAAAAAAGTAAACTGCTACACACATACTCTTCCAAATCATCTGGATTTCATAAAACCGAACCGCACTGTGGAAGGAGTGTCGGGAAGCTGAACATCAAAATATCGTCCAGGCTCTAAGCAGCTAGCCACACACTAATTAGGAAAAAAAAAAAAAAAAAAGACTGGGCCAGATATGAAGACCACAAGAGCTTAAAGAAAACACAAACTACACAGACACCAGTAACAGTCACTGGGGCCTCTAGGCTCTTCTGCGCCAACCGTGCAGCTGCAAGGAGGGAGCCCGATGACAGCAGGCACCGTGCGGCCGGCGAATGCCAGGTCAGACCTTCCCCACGGCTTCACGCGCTTGTCCTCGTGCTCGTCTGGTGTGATCTGCTCGGGGCTCCAAGGCTGCGAGGTGCACACGCAGATCCCGCGCCACAGGACCAGCACAAGCACACGCGAGCGAGCCCTGGCGAGAGGGACAAGACAACTCCCCGTCGTGCTAAGCCCTCCCCCGGCCGCGTGCTGGCCTGTCTGGCACTTAAAACACATTCTTGATATCCTGAAAACCAATCTCTTCTAATTGTTATAACTGAAGCGGACCTATGCGACGTGTCAGCCTCACAGTGCTGTTGAGCAGCCTGTGTAATTAAGTGACTTCCGATTTTCACTGCTGAATGTTCCTTTCCTAGCACTGAAGAGACTACACATCAGTTAGAGTAAAACAGGTTACTTCGTGAAGCCGTCGGGAACCATGGCATTCACGCGTCATTTCAAGAGCAGACATGAATGCCCTATTCATGTCTTCAAGGGGCACACTGTCCACTTAACAGACCATAGCCTGAGTCACTTTCTCCAGAACATCCCTCTGTGTGCAGACACCCAAATTCCGTCTCTGGCTCTGAGCTTCTGAGCTCCATACCCATCAATCCAACTGCCCATGACGTCCCACTCCCCAGCTGAACCGGCGTCCCGGCTTGCAAAGGCAGTACGTGCAAAACTGAACACCTGACTCTCACTGCCGACGTCTCGCCCCTGCCCTGCTTGCAGGACACGCTGCGTCCACACGCTCCACGCTGAGGACAGGAGTACGGTGCGTCGTGCTACTTCGCTCTCACCCCTACAGCCAATTCATCCATCACACAGACCGCGGTCGTTCCACAAACACGCACCAGCAACAAAACCGAGTGCCCGAACTCAGCGACTGTGCTCTGACCGGTGGCTGCTTCCTGGGGCCACGCCTCTGTCACCTTCCAGGGGCTGCTGCTGAGTGTGTCCTTACCGCTGCTCTGCTGGCAGGACTGAGCCCCTCGAGCCCATGCTCTCTGAAGGACTGACAATCGACTTTCGAAACCTCACTTTAACCCTGTCAGGCCTTTACCTGAACCCCTTCGATGGCGACTTCTCGGAGCAATACCAAAATGCACAAGCCCACCAAGATCTCAGGGACTCTTAAGTTCCTCTGGGACACAGCCACACTCCAGCACCGGCCGCCACCCTCCAGCTGCAGCAGAGCCCGCAAGGCCCACACTGCGGAGGACACTCACCACCTGGGCCCCCTCAGGAAAAGCGCGCCGACTGCTGTACGAGACACGGTCCTGCCTCCCTGTCCCAGAGGCACCCTGGAAGGCTGGCCCCCAATTCCGTGCTCCGGCACAGAACACAACGGCTCCACAATGGCTGCGCCTTTGCCCACAGCCCCTCGTCTGAGACCCTCTGCCCACCAGGCTCTGCCCAGCTAATGCGTGCGCGCCCGTCAAGCACCAGCTTAAGAGGCACTTGCTCACGAAGGCCCCCACAGACGCGCACTCTCCGCCGCGCTTGGTCGGCAGACGCCCCGGAGCGACGGCCTCTGACGTCACCACTCGCTCGTAGTCACTTCTGCTTCGCCCCTGAAGTGAGCAAGGGCGTGTGTGCTGATTAAGACCTTCTCCGGGGGAGGAATTATCCCAAGAGCCGGGGGCATACTTCGTTTTATTACGTCTATTGTTTAATAAGCTGATGAATTCGGCACCTTAGCATTAAATCTGGAATCTCTTTTTCAAAAAACTTGTTATTACTTTTTTTCTAGTTCTCAACGTATGCTTTCACGGTGGAAAGTTTTCAAAGAGGCCAGAAAACAAGAAGAGTGTGGGAATCCCTGGGAGGCTGGGGAGGATGCCACCTTCCCAATCTAGGAAAGGAAGGAGCAGGCCCCCACGGCCTCCCTCCCACGGCGAGTGCTAGGGGACAAGGCGAGCCGGGATGAAGACATTGAGCGGTTGCTCTCGGTCCTGGGTTCTCTGGCTCTGCGGCGGGGCCTGTGGCTGGCAGCTGCGGCACGAGCCACACGGGAAGGAGACCCCGCCACGCGAGAGACGAGGTAGCAGCCGGGCTACCGCAGATGCGGCACAGAAGCCACGTTCTCTGCTCCAGCTTCGGGAGGTAGAAAGGCGATCTTTGGATGTCTATCTAATGTCCTGCGTTGTTCCTGTTCCCCGTGGGGCCCCAGTTCGGAAATCCTATATCCCAATTAGAAATGCTAACACCGATACTTCCCTCCCATTTTTTCTAGACATCTTTTTTTTTTTTTTTTTTTGAATGTGTCAGTCTAGAAAACGCCAGCAACAGACATGCAGACGCTTCAAGGTTAGAAAGTGGAAATCACACTCCGTCTTTACACAACAGGCAGCTGGTAGTCTCTCTTGGAATAAACAGTGCCTAACAATTAACTACTAGTTTCACGTTGAGTTTATTATTCTAGTACGAGTGAAAGGAACAGAAGACCTCCTCTTTAGACTATCAATAACCGGAAGCTAAATCTTGCGTGTCCCCAGCTTCCGCGAGGCCGTCGGTCGTTGTGCCACACGATCTCTTAGCACAATTCACAAAGACTTCCGTCAGAGCAAGGATCCCAGAGTGCTGTCTGTTTCTACGACCAAGTACTTCCTACTGACTAGAGAGAGCACACTGCGTTCCCATGCCTCCCTGCATGAAGGCGTGTGCACACCGACCGCGAGGGAGCCCTGAGGGAGGGGCAGTCAGCACAGGTAGGGCTGGGAGAGGTGAGCAAGTGCAGGGACCCACCACCAGGACAGAAACACAGCTGCGTGGCCAGTGGGCGAAGGCCAGGTGGTGGCAGTGGGCGAAGGCCAGGTGGACGAGCTGTCGTCAGCGGTCCGGCCCGAGCACCTCCACATGGAGACCTCCTCTCGGGGCCTCAGCTGAGGTCCTGTCCTCCACACTCACTCGATGCCCCTCACCCCTCCCCCTGCTGCAGTCTGTATAACGGTGCAGGGACCCCTCCCGACAGTGAGAGGACTCTCCCACGGCCTGCCATCTGGAACCACGCCTGGGGGAGAACGCAGGCCTGGGGCCAGCACCCTCCCTTCTGCCTCTCCCCCACAGGCACCGTGAAAGGAGGCGTGAATGGGACTTCAGCCCAGGTCCCAGTCCTAACCGCCCACTGACACCTGGCCACCCGGCAAGAACAGAGGCCAGAGGCCCGAGGGGGAGGCGGGGGCAGGGGCCTGCGAGAGGCCCCACTACGTGTGCGATGCCTCTACGGGTTACAAGTAAGGATCAGAGGCGCTTAGGTAAATAGGACTTTGCCTTTCAGGGCCCAGGTGATTCTGTACTGAGCGAGAGCGAGAGCACAGCTTTCCGGACTGCAGAGAAACCGAAGAAGACCGGTGTGCTGACAACCCCACAGGTCAGAACTTCAGACCCCAAGCAAGATGAGCGGGGAAAGAGGATCCATGCGTATAAACGCGTAACAGGAAACGTGCAGGTTAAAGTTTTCCTGTGTCCAAGTGTGGCATGTAACATCCTGGTATTTTTTTCCCCTAAAAATGAGCATTTGATTCAGTTGGTAAGTATAGAAAATAGTCCATGTCTAATACCTTCCTATTCACAACTTTGTAAGTTTTGGGTTGTGGGTCCATTAAATTAGAACCTGGAACTATGGCCCACAAGCATGACCCTTATCAGGAGTAAGGGACTCTGGGCCATGAGCTGGGCTGACAGGTTCTGGACCTGCTGTCTGGCCCAGCTTGGGTGACCCCACGTAACCTGGCACCTCAGAACCAGACTACTGTGACCTCTGTCCACACCCGACACTGGCTCCCCTTGGCCAGCTGGTTCCCAGCTGGAGCCCCATCAGGGTCCCAGGTTCTTCTAGTTATCCTACATACCATGCCCTTCCCAGACGCAGCTTCCTGAAATACCAAATTACAACACGTCCCTTTCATTTCTCTGTGGAGTCTACAAGACGCAGTGCAAAGCCCTCAGGTGTCAATCAGGGTTTCCAGAACCACCGGAGCACCACTCTCCCTTAGCCAGGCGGGTTTCCAATGACCCTGACACAGCCTGCAGCCCTGCTTCACACCATCAGTGCGGCTGGCTCCCAACCACATACTCTAAGGTTGGCCGGGTGTTCTCTGTGGGAGGCTATGGCACCCGGCACATAGCAGACCCACATGTGGCCCAGGGGACAGAGGTCACCTCCTCGGCCTCGCCGCACACCCACTGGAAGAGAGCGCCTGGACGGGGATGCAGAAGCTGGCCTGGGTGATGAGTGTGCAGGGACGCATGTGTGCACCAGCACTCGAGGAGCTGTCTGAGGCCCCGCTCTGACCCCGTGCAAGCCCTAGCTCCCGTCTCGGACTAAGGGACCCTCCCTTCTCTGGTGCCTGTTGTGGCTCATCAAGTTTTGCCTCCACCTGCTCCTCAGGAGTGCCAGCGACTCGGTGTCAAGGTCACACTGTCTGTAGCTCCCCTGGACAGCAGGATGCCGTCCCTGCGCTGCCTGAGCGCCGTGAACCCTTCCATGGACCCCACCCCGAGAAGCAGAACCACAAGCACGCTCTGTCCACAGGCAGCGAAGGGCCCCCCACGCTCAGCTCCGGCCCGTGGCTGACTGACTCAAGGTGCAGAGCGAAGAGGGACAACTCATCCCGCTGACCGCGTCTCACCTTCGCTGCGACAATGCTGAGACCCATCCCGTTTTGCTTTTTCAGAGTCACAGTGATGATTTCAGGTTCTTTCCTCAGAGGCTGAGCCTGGAGGACAGAAACAAAGGTTTATTTTATGGCTAAAATGAAGTGTTTCTAGGTTAGACAGTCACGAGTGACAGGGCCAATCACATTTGCTGTGGTTAACGGCCCAGACAAGGATTACAGATAGGTCTCATGGCGTGACCAGCAAAGGATCAGTACTCTCGCCTCCAGAGCCGTGAAGACACTAGTCATGAACACTATTTAAACGTGAAAGAACTTATTTTAGAAAACAAAAGTACACTTCCATTACTATCAGATTAGAAAAACCCAATCATAAAAATGAAATTAAAATGTTACTATATTACCTTTCAATATACATTACTAGGTGTTTTTTTAAAGAAAAAAGGCAAACTTATTTTACACCATCCATGGGGAGGTCAGCATGAGACAGCTGTAAGAAAGATGATCTAACATGAGTCTCCTGGGAGAATGCAGGGCTCGTGTGACGTTAGGCCACCCCGAGATGCGGGCGGCACTGCTCCAAGTACTTTGGGCTCAGGGACGAGGTCAGTCCTTGAACTGATCCCTAAGCAAACACGGAGCTGTCCACTGAAGTTACGTGTTATCCGTATGTCACACCTCACCCAAAGAAGAAACAAAATTACAGAAGAAAACCACCAGTGCATACACACTATGGGATCCGCCAACAAGTGGTCGTTACATACATGGGGCTTGTTCATTCAGAGCCGAGGTCAGTGAGAGAACACTGGAAGGAAAATAATTTGTTTTGAGATTAAGACTTGAATGCTCCCAAGGGATCTCTGAGCACAGCACACTAGGAAGATGAAGAACCCGTGATCCCATCCAGGAAGGTATTTGCTGTCCTGTTAAACCTGGGAGTTGGGAACGGCTATCACTTGGACTGTGGCAAACAGCTCGGGAGGCCCAGAGAGCGCTGAGAGGCACTGTATCCGGTCAGAGGCTCTGGGCGACCGGCTCCCATGTGGCGGGGCGGCCAGCCGCTACCTCGGCCGCTGGAGATAGGAGGACACACGCTCCAGTCTAAAGCAGGCCGTTCAGTCATGACGAATAATAACTTGGAATTTGACATACAAAACACCGTGCGTGCTTTATTCTGCGTAAGTATCGCCACCTTACGCCACCTGACACAATCTCCATTTTCTTAGAATTTAGATACACAAGAGGCGCACAGCTTTGACAGGCTGCTGGTCAGTATTGTCGGGTGTACAAGGAAGTCTCTGGAGCGTCAGAAGCTACCTGGCTGTGTCTGCACCCCAGAACCTCTAACCCTTGGCCCAGGCACACTGGATGATTCCCACTGGCGGGCAGGGGAAGACACGGCCACATGCAAACATGCACAACACAGTGAGCCTGACCCCCAGGAACTTGGACCAAAGTACAGTCCCATCTGTTTGTTCCTTCGAAGGCTTAAGTGGCTTAAAAGATGAAAATGGTAATTACAGGAAGATAAGTAATGTGAAAGCTATCTAAAGGAAACTCCACAACAAAGTTCAAAAAGGAAGATTTTCCTTTGTTTCTATTGATCAGATGTGGCAGTCCAAGGCACAGGGACACAGTCTTTGTTATTTAAAACTCCAGGCAGGAGGCAAAGCAGAGCTCTCCACACAATGCACGAAGCCAGTGAAGAGAGGACTGACCAGCTTCCAAAAGATACAAAATTACCAGCAAGTGATTTGACACATACTTAAAACAAGGTAGAACCAACTGTAAGGAGAAAATAGTTCTACCAAAGAAATACATTTTCTAATAAAATTCGTAAGGCTATCATATTATCTTTTTAAAAGTATGTATTAACATTAAGGCTGGTATAGCTGAGGGTAGAAATATTTTTGTTTATGGACAAAAATATATAGACATGGCCTGGAAAAAATATGTATGTATATAAATCCTAGTTTCAGATTTTTTAAAATAAAATCAGTACTTAAAGATGATTTTAAAATACTCTTGTCACAACAATGCTCACTATAATCACAGAACGGGTTTGCATTACATTTTCACACCGTATGGGACACGCGTGGGTGTATGCCGCACCCGTCACACTCGTGATACTTGCCAGCTCCGTGCTCTCGCGCAGAAGGTGGCTCTCGTAATCTGCACCTTCAAAGTAGATCGTCCAGGTGCCTGGTGAGCGTGCATGAGGAATTAACCTGCAAAATCCTGAGGAGAAAACAAGCAAATTATAAAACTGAAAAGCAACGCAAGTCAGCCATATAATCTCCAAGAAGGGCAGCAACATCACGGGTCAATGGCTCGGCACCTACAGACGACCCTTCTTCTTCGTACTCTATGTACACTTATTGCCTCTGGAGATGGAACTTTCAGACATTTAAAATCATCGTTTTGGTTTGATGGAATTCAACACCAAGCTGAAAAGTGAAACTGGTCTCCCCTTCCTGTTTGTTTCAAAGAACTTTTCTCCCTATTTCTATGAGAAATCACCGACGTGCACCGTAACTCCTTCCTTGCTGACCAAGTGCTCAGCAATACCCGGGAGGCCTTTCTCGACAGAGACCGCTGTGAACAAGTAGTGAACAGCTAGTGAACTAGTTCACACGTCTGCCCAGTGTCACACCCTGGGCTCTACGGTTTTCAGGCAGGACAGTGTCTGACCTGTAGGATGGGCCCCTTCACACAACTCTGTCCAAATTTCCTAACCAGTCACTTAAATGGCTTACAAATAAGTTTCAGAGTCATTTTATAATGTTTTGAAAAGTATTTATGATATTCTCATCAACAAATGACAGCTTTATAAAGCTAACCTTTCCAATTCAAAATATGTCATTCTTCATTTAGGCAGATCTTATTCTGTGTTTCTCTGGACCTTCCTGACAAAGTTGTATCACACAGGCCTTGCACATTCTTATATTTTCTCCAAAGCGGTCTGGTCTTCCTATTACTAGCAGCTCAACCGTTCTGAGGAGCCTAGCGTGTGCCCGATGTCACACGGATGGCTCTTGCCAGCACGCACAGCCTCAGCTAGTCCCCGGGACTGGGGAGAGCCCTGGCTGGTGCCTCCCAGCCCTCTCTCCCACTCTAGGATTCCAGCCGTGAGGAAAGTTCGCCTGTTATTTTTGGGCACTTATGAGGTTTTTTTGCAGTAAGCAGAAAAGGAGATGTCAAAAGAGCGCAGTTAAGATAAAGATATAAACTTATAGCCCTTTGTATAAAAAAATCACCATTTCAACCTATTTTCATTAAAATATACCTACAACTTCTCTTTCCCCCACTTGAGGGAACTGTGATTATGACAGTTTTGAAATGAACAATCTTTATTATTTTCTTATTTTTTTCAAATGTCAAGGCCAGATCATACATCAAGCAGACATTTCCTGCTCTTAGCTGAAGGAATGCATCTCAGATCAGGTGTAAGTCCGTGCTGGTTTTACAGCCTTCTCTCACACAACTGTGTTATAGGACAAAACAAAAGGAACATAACTGAGCACACAGTAGTCCCTTATTCGGCTCAAAGACTTGAGCGTGAAGAATTAAAAACACTGATGTCATAAAAGAACACACCCAGTTCTTTATAGGTCTTGTAAAGGCCCCTCTGTAATAGACTGTGTTATCATCGGACACACATACAGAACGAGGCAGGGACGCCAAGACAGTGATGAAATACCACGGGTGCTCTGAAATCAATCACTCTGGGAGCCTCAGGGTAAGTCACGGAGGAGACGTCACCACCCTGGCAGGAGCTCCCTCTTCCCGACCTGGCAAGCTCTGGCTCGGAGGCACGCATCACAGAACCGACAGCCACGTACGCAAGTCCACACACACAGATCTGGAAAATACTAGTAAACCCGTCTCGCCGTGCGCTCGTTCACAGGTTAGTGACGAGCTGAGCACTCGCAGCCCAGCAGCCCTGGGCTGGGTGCTGAGGGTCAGGGGCCTGGCCCCAGGACTCCAGCTCGACCCCAGAGACAGGCGGACACACGCGTTTCAAGGGCTGTCACAAAGATGTCCCAAAAGAACACAGAATCCCTTGTGGGGAAAGTGGCGTTAAGTGTCGGGAGCAGGCTGAGGTTTTCTAGACACAGGGCTACCTGACCGGGACTGCAGAAAGTAAACCCAAGCGTGCGAGTGAAGCAGCGGGTGGGGGGGCAGGGGGCAAGGCCCAGGGGTGTTAATACCAACACGTTAATACCAACAACGGGCTGGGAGCGGGGTGTCCTGCTCAGCCGCCGGTGTGCTCAGCTCCCGGGGGTGAAGGGGAAGTGTGGGGGGGTGGGGGGGGCGGAGATCCAGCAGCCATGAAGCAACTGAGGGCGGCGGAAGGTGGGGGGCACAGAGGGGGCACAGAGAGTGGTCCAGGCAGCAGCCAGCCAGAGTGTGTGGCTGCCCCCCACACGCGGGTGTGTCAAGTGCTGATGGGCCCGGCCCTGCAGGCATGACAAGCAGTGCCCGCATGGCAACGGAGGCCCCTGGGCTCGGCCCTGAGGCCACACACGGGTGCCAGGGACCAGTCTAGGCCCGCTCTGCTGGGCAGGAGGGCTCCCCCCATAGGAGCCCTGACATGGGGACTCCCAATGCCGGACTGAGGCTTTCTCAGACGTCACTGCAGCCTGGACCTCTGTCCTCCCTGCTCGTCCCAGACATGAGCCCAGGCTCGTCCCAGCCGCCTTCCTCCTTCACACAAAGCTCCTCGAGGACGCACCCGCCTCAGCTCTGCTGCTCTGAGGACGGGCTGAGAGGAAACAGGAGTCCGCGCTCCCGGCACAACCAGACACGCTGGCTACTAACACACCACCCTTCACGACAAGAAGCAGCCTTTGTAGAATGGAAATTTTAAACTATCATAACCTTCAGAGACATAACAATCTGTTTATCGTAGCATGTGAAACAGTCACTGAAATTAAAAACCACACTCACCGAATTCACGTCGGCGAGACTAACTCTTCACCTTGCCACTGTCATTTGTGTGTAAGCTAATTCCTGAACTCTGTTTCTCAGTTCACCTGAGCTCCATGTTACAAACCATACCAGACTGGGGCTGAACTGGGGTCTGATTTAGAAGTTTGTGCTTCGAGTGTAAACGTGGCATTTTGGGGGGGGAAGAGGCGGAGGGAGAGAGAATCTCAAGCAGGCTCCAGGCTGGGCAGGGAGCCTGACACGGGGCTCGACCCCAGGACCCCGAGATCAGAATCTGAGCTGAGACCCAGAGTCAGCACCTTCAACTGCCGACTCCCAGCACGTGTGAGATTTTTACCACCACATTCCGACAAGAATACGTAAACGGCTACGGGATCAGACCCGGGGAGCTCGCTGCCCTTAGACAAGCCCAGCGAGAGCGTGGCTCACGAGCCCCGGCAGGCGCTGAACACGTGCTCATGGTGGCAGCCATGCCAATGCAGGTTATGGCTGTGCCCTGTGCCACAGGTCTAAGTGTCCCACAGGCGGCTGGGCCGGTCACGACTGCCTGCCATCCACGTGCCCGTGTCCTGGAAGGGCAGTCTCACGGGACAGAGCTGGGGTGCGAGCGGAGGTGGTGTGCTTGCCGCCCTTGTGCTGCTCCCGACAACTCCACTGGTAGTCACATGCACGGATCATTTCCACCGGATGAGGCGAGCTCCCAGCTCCCCAAAACCAGCAGAGGAGCAACCAAAGGTCCTCTCTCCTAGCAGGCCAGGCAGCAACGTGGCTTGTGACAGCTGGCGGGTGGAGCCACGCCATGGGAGGGTCACGACACACCCACGGGAGCCTCATGGTGCGACAACCCAGACTCCACAACACCATGAAACGCTTACTTCCACGTCCTGCCACACGGCTTTCCCCAGAAGCGCGTGCGGTGTGCTCCACACGTGTGGCCTGACGCACGTGCGCACACCCACACGCACCCGGTACAATGCTCACTCCGAGCCGGGCCAGAGCCGGGACTCCAGGCCCAGTAAGCGGGACGCACCTCTTTGGCACAGAGGGTCTAAGAACTCCTGTAGGCCGCTGGGAACGTTCCTGACAACGTCGCAAGAGTAGCCGTCTTCCGGAAGCAGGAAAGGCAGCTGCAGGTCAGGGTCCTCCTCCAGCTGCACCTCCCTGCCGTCACTGCGCGCCAGCTCGTCCGCCGTGTTCTCGGCCACAGCCACCACGTTCTCGATCAGGTCCTGGTCAGAACACGGACGCACAGTGAGCACGACACGCCAGCGGGCTGCCACTCAGACCTCTCGTGCGTGCCGCGGCCACACACGCAGGCGGGGCTGCGAGGGACAACGTCCCCAGTGTGCCAACACCGGCGCGCCGGGCGACGGTAGCTGGCGAAGCACAGCCTGCAAACACGTGAGCCAAGACAGGGCTAATCTCGAGTAACCTGCAGCCTTAAACGGAAACTGTTCAATCGTAAGAAAACGGTTTCCCTTTGCCAAAGTAGCCATTTTTTTCCCTTGCAATTTAACATCCAGGTGCTAATGATCCAATTTTTACAGAATTCATAATGACAGAAAAAATTCACACGACGGCAAATGTAAAAAATCAGGACAGAAATGTCTATCCCCAGCTAATCGGGAAAGAAAGCTCCCCCGGCTTCACTGTACAGCTCGACGAAGTGAACACGGCGCCTCAAGTCCCCGAGTCACAGAGCAAAGCCCTCACGGGAGAAGCAACCTTTGCTGCCCTGTCGGCCCTGGCTCCCCCACCCTAGATCCCGCCACCTGCTCTGGGAGCCCGTGCGGATGGACACGTGCCGTCTGCACCCCATGCTGCACTTCTGTGCACACGCGCAGGGCATCTCATCTGCTGTGCACTTCCGTGTGCAAACGCACAACTTGGTGCCACGCCGCACTCCTGCATGCGACGGTGACGGGACCTTCTAGATGCTCTCCTGTCGGGCGCATCTGCCGGCTCCTGATCCTGGCTACTCCGTACACGTCTTCTGTTGGCATGAAGTTAATCCTAGGGGTCGGCCCACCCACCTCCGGCACTTCCCTCAACAGCACTCCAGCCTCGAGCAGATTTTATTCGCGGGTGACAACAAGCACCTGCGGCCTTTCTCATTCTACACGCAGTAGCTGTAGCCCACATGGTGGACCAGGCCGTTGGCCCCCCATGCCTTCTCTCCAGACACACGAATGCCAGAACTTGATTCCCACCAGTAGGAGGCGTCTGCACGGGTCGGGGCAGCCCCCCTGGCTGGGTGGGGCACCTGAGGGGCACTCTGTGCCCACGGCACACTGATGTCCGTGCTGTGGCAGGAGCTCTGGGGCCTCTGAGCCTCAGGTCACAGTGGTGAGCCTGGGAATCCGGGCACCCTCTTAACTTCCTCTCCCGCCAGGCCTTCCAGTCATTTTCTAAGAACCTACTTCCCTGGATAAATGCCTTTCTACTTAAAATGCTGGGTATTTTCTACCTCCTGTACTGAACCCTAACTCAAATATCAACGAGAAATAGGATCTCAGGAGATGATTCAGTAGCTTATTTATCATAGAAGTGAAGTGACTATAAGCAGCCCCTCCTGCAGCTTTTGGAACCGGACATTTCCCTAAGCAAGCAGTCCCCAGCTGCTGGCCCACGGCGCGCCGACGGGCGGCACTCACGGCGGGGACGAAGGGCTCGTCGGGCGCGCAGTGGTAGTTCTGTAACAGGGCCTGCAGCTGCAGAGAGTTCAGCTTGAAGCACGTGCTGTTGACCGTCGGAATGTCCTCCGCTGAGTACTTGTCCATTGTGAGCAGAGTGGTTGCCTGGTGGAAAGGGTGACAGGACACATGACTGGAAAATATTTTATAACTATTCCCCTTCATGTAACACTTAAAACTGGAATAACCTGCTAATTTAATTTTAAAATGCAGAATGTTTTTTAGGGAAACACACTTCTATTAACATTGAATTGAACTGAAAAAGCGCTAATAAAGGTTTTTAGATGGCTTAATTTCACTAAAATACATAATTTGTATTTTACTAAAATATAAAATGTAAATGAAATTCAATTATTCATAAATCATTTTTAAAAATTCTCTTAGAAACTGTGAACATGGGTCGCCTGGGTGGCTCCGTAGGTTAGGCTGCTGCCCTCGGGCTCAGGTCATGATGCCAGGGTCCTCCGATCGAGTCCCACATCGGACTCCTTGCTCAGCGGGGACCCTGCTTCTCTCTCTCTGCCTCTGCCTGCCACTCTGCCTACTTGCGTGCGTTCTGTCTGACAAATAAATAAATAAAATCCTGTAACCATTTACATCACAACCACCCTGATCACCAGTTACTGGGGTCTGAATAAAGTTTCCCTGTAATGATTTTTTTACAGCCAGCTGATGCAATCCAAGGAGGATAGCAGCCTCTTTCTATACTAAACTACTTTAAATGAGATTAAGAAATTGTGGGGAAAATGCAAAATTATAAACTATGATAATAAAAAAAACCCCGCCGTACGTTCTGAGGCTGCAGATCACCTCTTTGACTGCAAAAGCCCCGTACCCAGGGCAGGCTCCGCAGGGACACCCTGAGCACCGGCTGAGCCGCTCACACACAGCCATCGCGAGCTCCTCCGTGCCCTTCTCCGTCTCCCGCCCCTGGCCTTTGGGACGGGACGACTGCCAAGTGCTAGGCCCCTCTCTCCTCCCGCGCGTGTCCCTGCGGGTTTCCACTTTGCGCTGCTCACCTGGCTGCGTGTGCTGAAGAGCGACGCGCTACCCAGCTGCACACTGGGATCTGTCCTTTCAGCTGGGAGCCTCACAAGATACTGGTCTGGTAAGAAAGAACCCTCGAAGGGTATTTATTCTAGTGCTTACCACCTGCTGCGGGCTGAGTTGTGTCCCCCAAGAGCCCAACCCCGTGCACCTCAGAACACGACCTTACTTGGAGCAAGGGTCTTGACAGCAGTGGGAGGAGTGAGTGAGGGGACAGGTCTAACGTGACTTATGTCCGAATGAAGAGTGCACACGTGGAGACACACATGCCCCCGGGGAGAACACCCGTGAAAGCGAAGGCAGAGAGCCACCCTGCCCACAGCCTGACGTGGGCCTCCTGGCCTGTGAGACAATGCCTGCCGCTGAGGTACGGGGCTGGCGGAAGACTGCCCCAGAGACCCAGGCAAGCCAGCGCCCCTCCGCTGCTTCAGTGGAGCACACGAACCCCCCCCGGGGGCTGCTGACTCGGCCGAATCCCGGGGCCGCCCCCTGACGGCATGAGACGCTGAGAACGAGGCGCACGACCTGTGGGCAGGGGAGACCCGCGCCAGCTCACCTGCACGATGCGGCTGAGGTGACAATCCGCCGCCAGCTCCAAGCCCTGCTTCTCCGCCCAGGCTTCCACGTGTCCCAGCTGCTGGCGGATAATCGCCCCCCAGTAGTGGGAGCACAGCCCCGACTCGGGGTCGGTGACCAGCCGGTTGAAGAGCCACATGTTGATAAAGTGGAAGAGCTGCGAGAAGAGCTGGATGGTCAGGGCTGCGTTGACCCGGCAGCGCCGCAGCAGAGACATGGCTCCCGTGAGCGTGTGCAAGACGTCATCTGTCAGACACGGGCGGAAGCAAGAGTCTCGTGAAAACGCTGGACGCACAACGCGTCAGGAACGGAGAGAAGGGCGACTCGGGTCACTTTGAGACACCAGGCCCTTCAGACGGGAGGCGGGAGGGAGGTCTGAAACCACACACGGGGCTTAACCATGTGTCCTGCAGCTCACCCCAGGAGACTTCCTGCAAAAGCACGACACCCCAAAACCGGAGCTGTTCTTAAATAAAACAGACGGTGGCTGCGATTTACTAAATGGCAAATCCAACAGTTTATCTCATTTATTCTAAAAATACCTCCCTCTTAGGACAGTAAATATTAAAAAGAAGTTACACAGGAAGGAGGCAAGAGGAAAGCGGAGAGCGAAGAGAGGGATGGCGGGGGGAGAAAAAGCGTCCTAACCTATTTTTGGTCTTTGCAGGCTGTTCTCTTCAGGGTCATCCAGAAAGGCTGGCATGTAATTACTCAGTTCTGATTGAAGGCAGTGAACTAGGTATCTGAAAATATGTAGGCAATTTTAATAACCCCAGCAGGACGCAGCCCCAGACATGACATCACAAACGGGAGTGGTTCACGCTGCTGAGAAATAGTTTCCATTTACAGTGCGACAGCTTTAGTCTCAGGAGGCTCGAAACACAGCTCAACAAATTCAATTCCCTAAATCAACACATCAGGCACACAGCTACTCCTGCTTCTCGCTGTCCATCTCCCATCAGGGTACATAAAACCTTAAAAAAAATCTCTACGGGCGTGCAATCTCCAAAAAGGTGCTCCTTACTTAAACGCCATCTGAACCAAGTGTGCTAGAACGTCTTGGGCGTCCAGTGTGATTCGACTAAGATCTCGGTCCTGTTTAATGAAGTTGAGCAGCTCAGACGCGTTGGCCATCCAGAAGGCAAGTGCCCCTGCGATATTCTTCTGCTTCTGTAGACAGAACGGATTTCCATAAGCAACCCCAAGACAAGCAAAAAGAACGAAAATACAAAGGAATGCTCTTGAAAAGCTGCTGAGATAGACCAGTACCTTCCCATTGTCACCAAGGTATTTACCACAGATACCAGATATTTGCAAAGGAATTTGGATGCATTCACAGCAGCGTAACTGCAACACCTCAGGATTCATGGACAGACACATGGATCCAGGTGGCCACCACGGACAGAATCAGGGCCGAAAACAGAGGTATCAGACCCTACAACGCCCAATTGGAGGTTGTGCATTATCTGGTAATCTGTGAAGGACACACGCGTCTATCCACGGTTACCCACAGCCACCCTGATACGCACAGTCACTGGCTCGGACGCCGAGCAACTCGCTATCGAGTACTGATCTATCGCATGGTCTCCCGACCACATGAGCAGGCCAGGCGACCTCAGATGAGATCCAAAGAATAGGAACCAAGGGTAAACAAGAAAGAGGAGAAACAGAACTTCCGTCACTTCATATCCACACTGAAGTGCATTAAGCAGAAATTATGAAATGCTGATAAGGGTTGCACAGTCAAACAGGATTTAGTACTGCATGTTTCAGTTGCTGAATGAGTGTTATGAACCGTCCAGTCCGGCTGCTGGAGTGCTGTGTTTGACATGGAAGCAGCGCGAGAAACTCAGCTAAGCCGACAAAGCCAGGACCAGTTCCCAGCAGCACGTCCTACCTGATCAACCTGGTCTACTTCCTGGAGAAAAACAGACGAAGGGGAATCAGGCAGAACGAGAGAAAGAAACTTGTAAACAATCATGACAGTTTAAAAAAATCAAAACACTAACATGAAGGTACGACATGAAGGTACGACATTTAGTTCTGTTATTCCCCAAATTACATATTCACTCCTGGCTCAGAAACAGCTTGGGAAGTACGTGATGTAAAGGGTTAGTTCTACGTTTTTAACACTGGCCCAGTGAGGGAGGGAATTCCCAGAATTTACATACAGAAATGTGACATTTAACATGGGAACACACTGATCTCTTTAAAAGATTTACAAATGAAGGACTTCTTAACGTCTTTCAATGATCTCGTGTGTCTGACTACTTCAAGGCATGTAAGATGAGTGTCTATGCTCTGGTTTAACAGGATGAAAGAGACAGAAAAGACCAACAGAAACAAAAAAAAATAAAAGTTAAAAATTTTTAAATGTATTAAAAAAACATAACTATACTAAAACAGAGTAAATTGGTTTTTCAAAGTAGGTTTTTACAAATTAAAGAATTTACTCATTACTATGGTTCTTTGCTAAAATTTTAAGACTCCTCCGATCACATAGTAACCCCTAAATGTGTTTTAATAGACCTGTTTTGATAATGATGATTTCACAGACTAGTTCCAATTCAACCAGGAAAAGTCTATCAACAGTAGTCTGATGAAAGGAATTCCACACTTTGAAACGGGCTTTGGAAATGCAAACATGAGGGAAGACAGACAATGGCTTTGAGCTAAAAGGAAATCTGTGTTTCTTCATAAATTAGGAAGAGAGGGAACACCAAATGGGATCCAAATAAAATGACAATTCTTTTTGGATTTGTTTCTTCACTTGGGGAAAGAACTGTAAGCCCATAGGTTCACAGGCTCACCCCTCAAACATAAAAGAAACAGTTCTTGAAAAATTTGGCCTTTTGAAGTAATTCAGAAGGAATCAACAGATTTGTCTGCTCAAACTGTCCTCACAGGAGGGAAACCACCAAACCGCTGCTTCACGGTACATAACTAGGGTTTTGTATTTTGTGACCGAATAATAGCTCTGATAAGTGGTTTGGAAAAACTTAAAAAAAAAAATTAACTTCACATTGACTTTCAAGGACACAGAATTAAATCTTCAGATTGTGAGTTTGGAAAACTGCTGTGCCAATTTACAGATGAGAGTACTTAATGAGAAACAAACCACTACAAAGAGAATACCCTTACTTCCTTAAGCTTCAGCCGTTTTATGACAGACCGTGATCATGTCGTCATCAAGAAATGTCATGATGTACATCACACCGAAACGAGTGCCGTCAAAAATCCACAGAAATCCTATCAACGTCGCACTCTCGGTGGAAAAGAGCAAATGCTCTCAGAACCTTGAGAAGACTCTAAGAGGGCGGCTGCCAGGCGCTGGCAGGGAGGTTATGAGGACAAACTGCTTCGTGGCACAGGGTTTTACTGTGGGTGATGGGAATGTTCTGGAACCACAAGTGGCTGCTGCACAACACTGGGAACATCCGAAATGCTACTGAATGAGTCGCTTTAAAACGGTTAATTTTACATTAATGTGAAATTCACCTCAACATATTATTTTTTCTAAAAAAAAAATCCCCACGTCTCAACGTGTTCTCACAACTACCACCATCTTAAGGATCTTTACTGTGATCATTACATTCCCACAGAGATTAAGGAGAAAACCAGCTGGCACTTCTTTGCCACTTTTAAAGCTATGCGAGCGTCCAAGCTCTCTGCAGAGCGGGTGCAGTCGGACTCGGGGGGGCGGGCCTGGGACGAGAGGCTGAGCGCGGGGCGGCTGCGCACTGCGGCTTACCTGGATCACCGCCTCCATCATGCTCACCATCTTGTGGACCGTGGCGGTCACTCTGTGAGCGCGCTCACTGGGGCTGGCGTCGGGTCTGCACCGGCTGGACAATACATACCGACACGCCATGTATAACACATATGTAGGGGACAACTTAAAATGGACTGTAGAGCTATTAGTATAGTTTATGATGGCAGATAAAAATGAATCTTCAGCTGTGAAAAGATTTCAAAAAAGAAAACAAACAAACAAAAAAAACAAAAAAAAAAACCATGAAAATCAGATGGAGGAAAATGGAACAAGAAATAATTCACTAACAATGGGATCTGAAATTACTCACAACTCTCCCTGAATTCGATGCTTGCAGGCAGTACCAGCTCGGGCCCAGGAGCGTCCTGAGTTCTGCAAGTAGAGAGCGGCCCTCTCTTAGATCGTGACAGCACCAGCAACCGCGCCTCCTTCGGCAACGGCTGCGGCCGTCTCCGCACAGTGCTTACAGAACACACACGCCCAGCGCCTCGTGCGCACGTGGGAAGTGCTCAGACACTCAGATACGCACACTGGGAGCGATCATACCCCTGTTCCTCCCAGAGGTCAGCTCCTTGACGTATCTGCTTCCATTGTGAGAACTGATCTGACCACGTGTCTCTATTATTCATGATGGTGTCGTGTGGAGGAGGGTGACCAGGCTGTCACACACCTGCTATGGCAATGGCTCAGGTCACAACGAAAAGCCACTGCTGGGAGACACGAGAAAAGCTAAACCACCGTGAGCCTGAAACTGAGCTCCTACACGAAGAACAAGTTCCTAAGAGCCAGACGCTGACCTTGGCTTCCGATGAAGCCCAGAGAAGAGGACGCCCACAGACCCCTTCAGGTACCTCGTATTAGCGTTTCTGGATGCTCACGGGGGAGCCACCTTCAGAAAAAGACATCCAACTCACACTTTTTTCAGACACCCCTCCTCATTGAGCAGACACCACGAAACAAGGCGCTGCCAAGAAACAGAACCCAAGAGCAGCCAGGATTGGGACGCCTGGAAGAATCCGCGCTGAACGTTACGTATTTCCACGTATCCTGGATCAAAGTACTTCAAAGGTCAGGACGTCCGTATTTCCATAGAAGAGTTCTCCAAATAGCGGATGACCCTGCCCCCGCTGGTAGGACAGAAGGTTCACTGTTGTGTGAAATTCTTTCAGCTATAAATACACACATCTGGAGGCATGTGTCCACTGGGGCACAGCGTACAACAGGGCTCTGTGTAGTGTACTGTGGTCAAACAACACCCGAAAGCCACTAGTGAGCACAGAATTTCTAAACTGTAAAATCATTACAGACCCAATGTAGATCTCCTTACCTCCGGTTTACACTGTTCTCGATGGATGGCTTCAGAGTAACTTAACTACTCTTTCATGCAGACACGTGATTAGAATTTCAGGCAATTTAAGCATTACTGAAGCTGGCCGGCTCCCAGCTGTATTTCACGTGGGACATTCGTCAGCTGCCCCTCATCACTAACAAACGGGCAAGTGATTAGGTTCCCAAAGATCAGTTTAAATCTTTACCACTTTAGTTCAGCTTTAACAGGTAACGGAAAAACTTTCCAAAAATCTTCCGTCAAATAGATTAAGAAAATTAAAACTGACAGCAAAAGCAAAGAAATGTGTTGTGCCTTCCCACAAACTTCACTGGGAAGTGAGGAGTGAGGCCACAATGACTTACACAGGGACGAAAGCAAGTCAGGGGCAGGGGCTGGCTCAGACAAAACTGAGGTCAGTGTCCAAACAGAGCGTCCCGTGTGGTGGGAGGGAGAGTCAGCCGCACTGCCGTCTCTCGAAGCTGTCAGGGAGCTGAAGGCCAGTCACTTCTCACAGCAACCCTGAAGTCTCCCAACCCCGGACACACAGTGACGAACCTGCCCGGTTTCTGCATTTGGAGTCACTGCTGTGACGCTCACTCAATAAACTGGCTCCTCTGACAACTTCTTCAAGAAAGGAGCTGAGAGGGAGAAGAGCCCATGGCCACTGTCCCCAGCAGCTTGCGTCCCGCCGGCCTACCTGCCCCGGGGAACTGAAGCAGCAACAAGGAGAAACGCAGCAAGTTACGTCGAACTGTTATAAACACCAGAAACAAAGGCAAGAGTCTTTCCATGGGATTATATGCTGTAAAGCTTCTTATCCGGTCTGTGATTACATGATTTGGATTCAGCTCAACAACTCAACTATAAAAAAAGATTTTAGAAGCAAAAGAATTTAAATGCCCAACATGTCTCTCTTGACTGCTATGTTTACAGCCACCTGAAGCTGCAGATAAGCAGTTAACTTCCAAATTTACTATCCACACACTAAACTGGATGAACCTTACCAACTCCTGCTTTCATCAATTTAGCAAATCCAGTAAAAATAAGGAATTTAAATTCTCACCAAAGAAAATAAAATAATGCGTCAGTCATAACTTAAGGAACTCCATTATTCGAAAAGATTTTTTCCCAGACTAAAATCAGTATTTTAAAATATCTAACAACTTAGACTTTCATGAACGTACCAATTAAGTGAAGCACTGCTTCTTCTCACATCATATACACGAAAAGCAAAGAACGAAAATAGAAGAATCACCTGTTTCCATTGCTGCAGTAGGATCGAAGTAGTACACAGCCACAGTCCCAACAAAACCCCTAGTAAAATCCTGCTCGCAGCGTAACAGCAGTCCCAGAACACGGCGAGCTGCCACTGGGCAGCTACTGGACACGGTGCTTCACCAGCTACCTGTGCCGGACACACGCACGCACTGGTTTTGTTCTAAGTGCTCTCTCCTCTCCCCCATTTGATTTATCCATCATCCAACTATTCCTGGGCTGAGAACGATGATGCGCTCCTCTCGATCACCTCATAAACAGGGTCACTCTGTACGGTACTAGCTCACCGTCTGAAGTTCTTATTCTAGAACACACCATCAGAAACAAGTACAGACACAGAAAGTAGGCTTATCATTACACCTAAAAGAATTCACACAGCCAACAAAACTCTTGAATACTAACCAAAAGTGCAGGACAAAAACAAGGGAAAAACCTGAGATTCCCGCATCAGTCTGCAACAGAGTCCCGCGTTAACTGGGCTGACAAACACACGACGCACAGCGCCCTCTACTGGAAGACGGGAAATGAAAGTGCGACCGCCGCCAGTCCCCTGCCTCCCTTAGGGGACTGGGGGGGGGGGGGGGGGGGGAAGAGCTAGCATGGCACCAGGAGACGGACTCCCCCAGCCCAGTTCTGCTGCCGATAAAGAGGGGACGTGCACGGCACTCCTGAGCTCTTCGACTGCCGTCTGCGGGCTCAGGGCCCTGCCGGGGAAGCGCTGGAGCCACACCCGGAGCTCAGCGCCCGTTATTTCAACGTGTGAGGCACCGACATCACTCTGCAACTCTAAACAATGTTAAAAATCACGAGGGAGTAGAATTCTAATAAAGGTCGTATGTCCTTAAAATTCATAAGAAAAGGAAATCACAAAAGGCGGATGTTCGCTGTTCAAGAACACTAGGCAAGAGCCCCGGCAGGAGAAACAGGTGTTCACAGCTATGCTTTTCGACAGAATGTAAGACACAGTAACGCGGCACTTGATAAATCCTCAAAACTCCACTGAAGGCCTGCCTGGCTTCATAGATTTAAATATAGAAGGATTCTGTATACGGATGGGGAAATGATCAGATTATCTTAATATAAAAATGATCCAACAGTAACATCCAGGAAAAGTCCCTTTCTCCACGTTTCACAGAACAGCCCATTTAAGACAGAAACCTCTTTAAGTGCGCCCCATTTCATCCGGACAGATGACACCGTGGCCAGGGTAAGGGGACCCCTGCTCGTGGAGCTCCGTCTCTGTTCAGCTCAGTAACTCCACACAAAGGTCAGCCAAACCTCCATTGGTTCAGGCATCTCTCCCCCAAGGCTTCCCGGGACCCTTTCACGTCCTCCCTGCGGAAGCTGAGCGCCTTCCTACCTGCTCTCTTGCCGGCGGTCCTGCTGCTCCACTCTGATCATCGGCTTCACCATCCCGCGCTCCGCCGAGCCGGAGGCAGGCACTGCCCGGTCGCCGTCCAGCCTCGTGGCGCTCTAGGCGGGGGGAGACACAGAGCACTTCAGAACACCACGCGGACCGCCCGGGCGTACACGGACCGCTGCCAGGCTGCCAGGCAGGGGAAGGCAGGAGAGGGATGCAGGGCAGGGGCAGAGACGAGAAGGCGCGGCGGCGCCTCTGAGGAGGCGCACATTCTCATGTGCACATTCTCACCGGTGCACATTCTCATGCCCCCAAACACACGGGCACTGAAAGAGCAGTAAAGCCCGCAGCCCCTTTCCTTTTCCGAGAGCTAGACGTGGGCTTGAGACACAGTCAGGAAGGGGGCTACGCGTGCGCGAGGGCTCCCCTAACATCGTAGAACCGCAGCAACTCCTCCAAAAAGTTCTCTTAAGGAAGGAGGGAGCGGAGAGAACACACACAACGTAAAGTCAGGGTCTTCGTTTTACTTGTTAAGAAAGTGTTTGAAAAAACCATCATAGCTCAACGTCCAAAGACAAACTGAGCACAGAAGCAGAAGCCCGTCTCCAGCAGCCTACAGCCGTACATTTAAACTCTTCCACGCAGGGCACATTGCTAACTAACCCATGGCAGACAAAACAGATAAGCAACCTATATGAGTAAGAAAACAGAGCAAAATTATACAAAAAAATGCACTGTAGCAAAAATTGTGTCAAATTTCTCATTATATTTGATTATAGAAATTGAGCTTGATAACAGAAATCATTCTTGTCTTACCAACCAGAGAGTTACACTGGGCTGTATTTATCTTCACGGTTCTTTACGATTTGTATTTTTCATAAATGAGGTCATAACCTACTTTAAAAAATATTTTCTCATACGTTGTAAACATCTAACAATATTTTTATGTTACAGAACTATAATGGTTGTGTAACATTTTGTTGTTTATCTACCAAAGTTCATGGAACTAATCCTTGATTACATTGTTTAAAATGTTCACCAGGACAGGGAGTCCCGACAACCAGGCTTGTAAATATACACATTCACACACAGTGGTTACGTCCATAAAATACATTCACAGAAATAAGAACACCAGGTCAGACTACCGTTGTAAATAAGTGAAAAGGCAATAGAGAAGTTAGGGTATGTTTCTAAGCTAACACATTACAAAATAAATTGAGCCCATTTTCAAATAAAAAGCTTACGAAATCAGAGCCAAAGGCCACAGGACGGAAAGGTTTGTGTGTGCGCGTGGATACCTGATCGTTTGCAAGTGTATAAACGAGCACATCGGTGACACAAAGAGCTCAGAAAAGGATCTGTCAAAGTGTTACCAAGAGCCAACTATAAATTGTGGATGAATGATTTTCATCTCTCTTTTTCTTAACTGACCAAGTTTTCTGTTTTAACTATACACTTTTAAAAGAAACTAAACTTTCCTTTAAAAGAGCGGATTCATTTAAAGAGAGAGCATGAGAGCAAGAGAGCGCGCGCTCATAGACGCGTGGAGGGGAGGGGCAGGGGGAGAGAGGATCGTCACGACCACACCCTGCGGAGCGCAGAGCCCTGAGGTGAAATCAGACTCCTACCCAGGCGCCCCTTAGAAACAGCTTTGTCTGAGGACAGTCCCATCCGGTTCCCAGAGCACCTGCTCAGACGGTCGCTCTGCAGCTCTGCGCTGCGGGCCCGGTGCCCGGCGCGCTCCTGGAGCCCGAGCAGCACAGCGGCGAGCCCGCCCAGTGAGACCCCGCCTGCGCCGAGCTCGCGCTGCACCGTGGCCGCCCGCGCCAAGGACCCGACGGCCGCCCAGGCTGGCGCAGGCATTAAAGTAAGGGGCGATTGCGCCCGGACCCTCGCGGATGTGACGTGTAAGTGGAGGTCGCCCCAGGAGGGGCAGCTGCGTGAGAAGCCGTGGGAAGAAATCCTGTAGGCCGAGCAACACGCCCGAGGCTTCAGACGGGGAAGAGGCGTGCGGCCAGTGTGGCCGCCTCAGAAGGAGCTGTGCGAGCCAGAGGCAAGAGGGGGGGTATGTGGGGGCGAGCGGCTGCGAAAGCACGGCAGTCACAGGGTCAAGTTCCCGTTTTCACAACAGCAGCCTGGCCCCTGGAGAAGACTGACGGGCCAGGGCAGCAGAGGAAAGGTCAGAAGCCACGCAGACTCCCCGCCGTGCGACACCTGGAGCCTCCGCCCGACTGCCCACGGGGTGACAGACAGAGACAGGCACTTGTGGACTGTTCCAGCGGGAGAGCAAACGGAACTTGCCAGCGACTGAACGTGGAGGCTGAGGGAAGGGAAGGAACCCGGGATGACCAGTGCCGGACTTCTGTGGGGACGACGCCGCGGGGAGCGGATCGTTGGCTGAGACGGCAAAGGAGCAGGGATACAAAGAAAAGCTAGTCCTGTTTTCGCCGTGGTAGACTCGATACACGTCTCAGACAACACGGCAGCTGTCGCAGGCAAGCCTTTGGAGCCTGCAGAGGTCAGGGCCAAAGACAGGTTACAGTAATTAATGTCTAGATGTACTTTAACTCCCTGACTGCGTGAGATCACCCAGTGAACATGGTCACAGGGGACAGAAGGGGCCCTATGTCTGCAACCGGCGTGAGGAGTCAAGCGGAGGAAGACGTGGAGAAGACACCAACAGAGGAGACCCAGGAGGACTGAGCACCAAGGTGGGAGAAATCGGGACGGCGACACCCCAAGGCTGAAATAACGAAGTGCCCCAAGTACGTGGTGCTGACCTGACTCAGGCCAATGGAGGGAAACACGCAGCGGACCAGGCACCGGGGACACGGCCTCGGCCAGCCGCACCGGGAGCAGCCCCTTTCCCGAGCCATCACTAAGCCTGTGTTTGGCTTTAACCAATGGAAGGTCAGGGAAGCAAAGCTGGGCCCCAGTTCTGGCCCAAGCCTAAGAAGGCCTGTCACTTCCGGGACGCTGTGAAGCACGAAAACACCTGGCTGCTCCCGCGGAGAGAACCTGAAAAGGCAGGGACCCAGGGAGGCCCAGCCAGCCCACGAGCAGCTGACCGCAGCAGTGCGAGTCACCGCCGGCACGACCAGCAAACAAGCAGCCCCGGAGAGTCCGAACCTCACCGCACAACTGCTGTAAAGGCAGCGGGCGCTGTTTTGTTTGGTTCACTACGTTCTGGGGTGGTCTGTTACGGAGCGATAGTGAACCAAAATGAGGGCAAATTCCCTGATCACGCGAGATGAGGGGAACCGTGGAAGCGAAGGGCCTGCAGAGAAAAGGCGGCAGGCGGATGGGAGCACGGTGCTCGTTATCTTCGGAGATCGCCGGGCGGAGAAAGGCTGCTGGGACAGAGGCTGAGCCTAGGATGCACCGCTGAGAGGAGAAGGCACGGTCTGCGGCCTCAGGCCTGTCACGTGTCACAAGACAGCACGACAGATTAGCACCAGCCTGCTAGAGAGCACTGTGTGGTCTTCTCTGTCTTCATAATCGTCCTACCAGCGTATTACCAGTAACTCATCCCCGGTGTCCTACAATGCTACACAAACACAGTCCCAGCAGGTCGTGTAAGTCGCCTACCTGGCTTGTTGGTAACGCTGTTCCGCTGTGAACATCTCCTCCTAAATCAAAAGTTGTCTCTTGAACAATTCTTTCAGGATTAAAAAAAAAAAAAAAGAAATACATAGAATTAGTAACCCTCAAATGATAAAGACCACCTTTTTCTCAGTAATACAAAAGAAAGGGCTAAATATCCCAATTTAAAGAGGTTCAAGAAATCAATGAATTTTCAGCATATAAAAGTTACAGACAAAAAAAGCTGTTAAAATTTTTTGAACTTTTCCGGGTACCTCGGTGGTTCAGCTGGTTAAGTGTTTGCCTTTGGCTCAGGTCATGATTCCAGGCGACCAAGCCCCACATCAGGCTCCCTGCTCAGTGGAGAGCCTGCTTCCCACTGTGACACACTCTCTCTCTCCCTCAAATAATAAATAAAATCTTTAAAAAACAAAAAACTTTATGAACTTTTCTTACTGCTACACACTGGATACTCTCAGGATCTTATTTTTTAAGGCTATATTTTAATAATAATAAATTGGAAAGAACCAAAAGGAAAAAAGCAAGCTGTTTCATCACGTCACAGCACATAAATGAATGCAGAGGACTCCAGCGCCATGAGCCCATGTGCTGACACAGGGGGACAGCCGTGTTCACAGGAGGATAAGGCAAGGTAGGAAGCTGCCATCCTCCAGAAATCAATCTGATGACTTTTTAAAAGCTCATGGATACCAGTACTGAGGCTATAATAAAGAAATGGAGAACTTCTGTATAATGTTAGTAATCAGATCAAGAGTTATTCTATTTTAAACAATTTTAAAAAATATCTAAAAATACCAAATTTTTAAAACCATCATTATGAAAAGTTCAGAGCAAACAAAATCTCATTTTAAAGAGTCAATAACCCGAGGCAGGCTATGGTTCTTTGGCACAAATAAGGATAAATACAATCCATTAATTCCAGCCCAAGAGAAAGGCCCCAGAAAAGGGGGAAAAAAGAGCCCAAAGAACACCTGGAAACCAACAGGATGGGTTAGTGCTTCAATCTCCTGGGCTCCTGCCCCAGGTAATCAAAAAGAATCACAATCTCTTCTGCTACCTGAGAGACAACCATGTAGTGTCATAGCTCCATGGTAGCTTTAAACTTGTATTTAACCCCAATCTACAAAATGAAACCCCAAGTGATGCAGAAGTTCAAAACAATTCTTCAAATTAGAAAACCAGGTACAACTTCCTCCTCTTCCTTATCACTATGAAAATAAGATCATCTTGTAACACCAAACAATGATCACACTTCAAAATAGAAACTGGAGATGTAAGAGCTTGTACTCGAAGCTAAATACTCTGTCACCTACCCTCTGTCACCAAGATATTCACAGAACATAGAAACTGTTTTTCTAGTTTCTAATGGTTTGACTGGGAAACTCAGTTATTTTGCCTCCGATAATGAAAGCAGGGGTATGATAGTTCATCTCCGTCATCTATCAAAGGCTACATATACACCATACCTATCCCTAAATTCATGCTATCCACGTACAGAAACACAGGCCAAGCCTTCTTGACCCCACTTGTAATTCTCATCCTAACATAACGAACTTACTCAACACCATGCAAAGCTCTTTATTTCTTCACCCAAAGCTAACAGGACTTTAAAGTTTCACATGGACCCATTTGTACTACACTTTGGATTCGTAAATGATTACAAAGAAACTTTATTCATGACTTTAATGACATTATCTAAGTATGACCACAGAGGGTAGGAACCATGTCTCAGCCTCCTCAGTCCAGAGCACACGGATACACTGACATGTGACGCAGGTACTCCACAAATGCGCACACAGAGAGGTTAATGAGTGCACTGAACGCACCAACAGAGGGCCCAGCCTGACCGTGAACATCCAATTGTGCTACCTTGCTAGTCCACCATCCACTAAGGCTTTGAGGACACAGACCCTGAAGTCTGCAATTAAGAACACATGCATCATGTATCCCTCAAGGAACTAGAAACAAAGAACAAAGCCCAAAGTTACTAGAGGGAAGGAAATAAAATCAGAAATTAAAAGAGAAGACTTTATAACTGGTACCCAGAAACAACGTTAACAGTCCATTAGAAACAACTATACGCCAACAAACCAGACAACCTAGGAAAAATGGATGAAGCCCTAGAAAAACACAAACTACCAAGACTGAATCGTGATGAGATAGAGAATCTGAACAGACGGAGTACTAGTGAGGAGATCGAATCACTCATCGAAAACCACCCAAAAAACCAAAGTCCAGGACCAGACGGCTCTACTGGAGGATTCCACCAAATGCTCAAAGAATGAACACCAATCCTGCTCAAACTCTCCAAGAATGAGAAGAGGAGGGACCTCTTTCAAACTAATTTTACGAGACCAGCCTTACCCTGATACCAAAACCAGACAAGAGCACAAGAAAAGAGAATTACGGGCCAGTATCACTGATGAACAGAGTTGCAAAAATCTTCAACAAAATACTAGCAAGCTGGGTTCAACATGACATGAAAGGGATCACACGCCAAGATCAAGGAGGATTTATTCCAGGGATGAAAACAAGGATGGTTCAACATCCACACATCGGTCAGTGAGTTCCACCACATTACCAAAATAAAGGATAAAGACCACATGAGCAACTCAACAGATGCAGAAAAAGCATCTGACAAGATCTGATATCCATTTACACTGAGAACGCTCAACAAAGTGGGTATAGAGGGAATGTACCTCCACACACTAAAGGCCATACATGACATGGCCACAGACTCCTCATCCTCAGTGATCAAGAGCTGAGGGCTTTTCCTCTAAGATCAGGAGCGAGACAAGGATGCCCACTCTCACCACGTCATCACTGTGTTCATTCAACACAGTATCAGAAGTCCTAGCTGGGGGCGCCTGGGGGGCTCAGTGGCTTAGAGCCTCTGCCTTCGGCTCAGGTCATCATCTCCGAGTCCTGGGATCGAGCCCCGCATCGGGCTCTCTGCTCAGCAGGGAGCCTGCTTCCCCCCTCTCTCTGCCTGCCTCTGCCTACTTGTGATCTCTCTCTGTCAAATAAATTTTTTAAAACTCTTAAAAAAAAAAAAAAGAAAAAAGTCCTAGTAAGTTGCTAAGAGAGCTAATGCTGCAAGTTCTCATCACAAGAAAGTAGTACCCATGGCCGGTGGGTGATGATGGCAACTGGACTTGCTGTGGTGACCACTCAGCAACACACACACATGCTGGTCATTACGCTTTGCACCTGAACCTGACACGTCATTATATGTCAATAACAAAACACGCGTACATGCCTGTGGAAAAAAAGCCATGGGCTGTCTACCTAGACATCTGTACAATAGCTTGACAATGGGACAAAATTAGTGTTTATAAAAAAGAAGAAAGTTCGTTCTGGTTCACGGATGGACATGTAAGTACTGGCATATCCTGCCACTGAGCAGTTTCCACCAGGTCTGTGAGGAAAAAATGTAGGAATACACGTGAAGTTTCACATTGTATTTTCATCAAAGAAACCAAAGCCATGTTCTTAGTATGATTCTGCTTTTGGCCAGACACAAGATGAGAACAGACACCGGCGGGCTTCCAAAGAAGGAGCCACAATGGCAAAACAGCTGGGGAGGGACCTCGCATGCAGGAAACAAGACAACCCTGCTGCAGAACTCCCGAGCTGCAGTGACGGGACAGATGCAGTTGCGTCACTTCAGGAGCAACCCCTACCCCCAAAGTAAGGATCATGCGGCACTCAGGCATGAAGCACGACTGGGAAAACCACAGGGACGCCTGAGAAATCACGTGCAAGCAGCCAGAAGTCATGCCACACGATGACTTCTTTGGCTAAACACCCTACAGGTGAGTGGCAAGTAAGATTCTCAGGTGTACCCCGGCCTGTCACCACCTGGTGCTAACAGACGCAGGCCTGAAGAATGGAAGGTCAGAATGGAAACCACCTGAACAGGACGGTCGGGTGAAGCAAAGGGGCCACGCAGAGGTCCCGATGAGGGCCAAGAAATGCGGACGTGGCTCATAAGTAAATACAATTTAAAAAGGAAGAGACAACGACAGGTCCTCCCAGACACGAAACGGAAGGATGAGTTTAGAGACACATTCTGTTCAAAGCTGGAGGACTAGTCAGACAGAAATGGGCTTCCTTGGGAAGTCAAGGCCCACGCCCATCTTCCTTGGGAACCGAGGGACTGGTCCTTGGCGGAAATGCGGAGCCAGAGGTGAGCAGCTGGGAACAGAAGGTCTCAAGCAGCCGATGACAGTTCCCATGTCCCGTGTGCATAGGGGAACATGTGTGATGACCAACAAAGTGTTATCTCGGAGCAAGACCTTAAGTCTTACTTGTACGAGCCGCCTTTCATCCTTCTGGGCAGGATGTGAGATGGTCACAGAACGAACGAACGAACGACCCCTGGGAATGACTGCAGTAGAGTTCACAGTGCTGGGAAACTGGCGAAAGACCACTAGCACGAAGAGACTACAAATTCCCACCTGCCCAGAGCACGAGCTCTGGGAGGCTGAGCAAAGGTCAGTCACAGACAGAGCGGTGCAGGCAGCCGCGGGGAGACCGCGCACACACGGTGCAGCCGGGGCACAGCGCTGCGCCCATCAGCAAAGACCGCCCCTGTATTCAGCATCGTGCGTGGGGACCGCGCCCTCGCAGCCTGCAGGACGGGCAAGGGGGCCAAACTGTGCGTTTTTTTTAAAAAATTACCACTACCGAAACGAAGTTTTACTCCCTTCCCCGGCACGAAGTTTGATTAGACGGCCAGCAAGGGCTGTGGTTTTCGGTGACAGCCACAGTGCAAGTCCTCGGACAGGCACTAGGGGGAGCTAAGATACTCTTCCTCCTGTGAAGACTTCACACCGTGTGTCCTTATCACAATCAGAAAAAGACACCTCCACAAAAATTGGTGATATGGGTATGATTACATAAAATACCACAGTGCTTCCTAAAAGAATAAACTACTGGCTAAAAAACCCAAAATTTAAAACTATTAAGAACCAGCCACAACCTCCAATTTTACAATAAAATCAGGATCCCTTTCTTCTTTCCTCGGCAACAAACCCAGATCAACAAGAACAAACCACACTTTGATTTTAAAACTGGAACAACCTGGGGCGCCTGGGTGGCTCAGTGGGTTAAGCCGCTGCCTTCGGCTCAGGTCATGATCTCCGGGTCCTGGGATCAAGTCCCGCATCGGGCTCTCTGCTCAGCAGGGAGCCTGCTTCCCCTCTCTCTCTCTCTCTGCCTGCCTCTCTGTCTACTTGTGATCTCTGTCAAATAAATAAATAAAATCTTAAAAAAAAATAAAAAAATAAAACTGGAACAACCTGTAATGTGTGCCTAATTCAGATTCTCTGACACATAAACCAAGCCACTCTAAACTCTGAGAGCTGATGGAGAGCAGTTACCCAGGCTTTTGTCTGGGACCCTTGGCCGTCAGGGCCCCATCCGCACATCTCTTTGCCAGAGCGTGGTCCTGGCTGGGGTCCACAAACTTGAACACATGTGAGGCCCCAAACTGCACTTTCATCCCACTCTGCAGCATGGTTGTCTCTGAGATGCGCTGTCCTTCCACGTAAGTCTCAGCGTCCATGCTTCTTGGCGTGACAGTGACCACTCCATCCATGTTTGTGAGGTCACAGTGATGGGGCTGAATTCCTGATCCAAAGAGCTAAAATAAAAATCAAAGGAACATTCATCATAAAGGACATGGTATTTAAAAACAGAATTTCTGGGGCGCCTGGGTGGCTCAGTTGGTTAAGTGGCTGACTCGATCTCAGCTCAGGTCTTGATCTCAAGGTTATGAGTTCCAGCCCCATAAAAACAAAAACAAAAACCCCAGCATTTTAAAGCCATGAGTTCCTCTTTTATGAATACGAAGTAAACTAGATTTCTGGTGCTTTTTAAGTGTATTCCTCCCCACAGTACAAAAATAAGTAAACACTGTCAAAATAATGTCAAAGTAATAGGACACATTATGTTTAGCACGGAGCAGCTTGCTTTGACACACACCGTAAATCTGAACTGAGAAGTGCGCGGTCATCTTAAACATATGCTAGCTAAGTAAGAATATATCTATGCAGGGCATTAGGATTACAAACTTTATTTACCTGTTTTACTGCTGTGCTGAAGGAAGGGACCTGAGAATTGCAAATGACACTAACTAACCTGACCCACCATCTGCGACTGGGAAACTGACCACACGGGGGAAGGGCAGGCTGCCGGAGCTCAGCTGAGTTCAATCGGGTGAGGACCGCGGGCCTCCATTTAAGGAACACACTACGCTGTTTCACTAAGTCCCTGAAAACCCCCCCTGGCTAACATCTCACCTACAGTTCAGGCAACGCCCATGGCTACGGGCATCAGACCGAGGGGCAGGCTATTTCCCCTAATCCTGAAAAAGACCCATGAAGTCATCACCACCACGACCAGATCAAGTTTCCAGAGGTGGAGCGTGAACGTAATTTCGGTCGCTCTGTTCACGCTGAAGCAAAGGAAGTGAGCCACAGTGCGCCGTTCCTTCCATTAGAACATGAAGTCTTTCCAGTCTGTCCGTCCATGCACTGCTACCATGTGGCAGGCCTTAACCGTGGGCCCCCTCCCCCTTCCCACCCAAATGGAAGAGCTGCCCCAGGCGCTCGAGCCGCGCCCATGCACCTGGATGGAGTCCTCGTCGAACTTTTCCGTCCCAACCTCGGTGACACTCAGCTGGAGGCGGTAAAGCTTGGGCTTATCTCTGGAGTCCGAGCCATCTGCGGAGAGAAGAAAAAGCTTCATTTGCCAAGCCTGATGTTCTTGTCATGGTATTTGAAGCAAGCCAACAAAGCAAGTGAACAAAAGGTTCATCTTAAAAACGACTAATGGTTCTTAGTTCTCAGGGTTTCATTTCGAAGAACTCTCCGAATTTTAATCATGCAACATACCTAACTGGATATAGAAAATTTAAATTAAGACATCGACACATTAGCTTCTGTTTAATCTCATTTAAGTTGCTAACATCATCATCTATAAGCAACATTTTCTTATCACATAAAAGAAATTTCTGCACCATGCAGCCCTGGATTTTTGTGAATGATTCTGAAGCGCAATTCTATGAGGCAGACACACGGCCCTTCCCCTCAGAGCAGGCTGCTCTCCCAGCAAACGTCCACCTGTAGAGCCCAGGGCGCCATAGGGACTGATGGACATTTTCAATGTACAGCCTCACAGGTCATCCAGTTCTCTGGACCTCAGTCTCTGGGGATGAGGCCTGCACACGTACCCACTGAAGAATCCCCCAAGTGATCCCAACGCCCATTCCTGACAGTAAGTTCCAGTAAGAACTACAGTGAAAGTGCTTAGCTTTGCAGAGTGGAAATGTGTGTGGGGTGGGGGGTAGACAGAAAGGGACACTGGGTTTTTTGGGTTTTGTCATTTTATACCTCCGTAAACTACTGACATTTCCACTGCACTGTGCATGAATTTCTATGACGGGGATGGCGTGGAGAGAAGGAAGAAGAACCAGTGCCACGACATCCACTCCTTATACCCTAACGCTCCTTCCCTTCTCACCTACTATGTTCAACCTCATACAAGATGTCAAAGATTTATTCTGATTTCAGAGATGTTAACATACAAGGAAACATGCCTCACAGAACTAATGAATCATGACACCATCTCCCAGCTGTGAAAGCCAACCTAACGTGGGTATGCAAAGTCCTAAAAGGGCCACGTAGAGTCTCTGACCTACTTTAATGCCTTAATAACTTGCTGATTCACTTATTAAGTTGCCAGTTAAACTCTCTGGTCCCTGGGACCAGGAATTAAGCTGTGAGGGCTGCAGAAGGTAAGCACCCGGAGTGTACGAGGGCTCAGACCACGACAGTCTCTTAGCTGTGCTGTGGTCTGAGCTCTCAGACAAAACACACGGTGAATACAAAAATCTGTTACAATTGCTGCTAATTTAGAGCACACAAAATAACATTCCAATCACAACATTTCTCGCTCCTGATATACTTCCGAAACCTGTCGCATCTGCGTGACGGGGAGCCGTCCATGAGAGCCAGGAGAAAGCGGGACACCACCTACGCTTCACAGCTCCGACAGCCCCACTGCGCGCGCCGGCAAAAGAAGCCTTATCTCTAGACAGTTCTATTTTCAACTCCAGCTCCACGTCCTGAACCCGAGTGAGGCATCGGCGCCACCTGGGCCTTTCCCCGAGGTGAGCGGTGCCCTCCAGGGCTGCTGAGTGCGAGCACCAGAGCAGGGCCCACTACTTTGCAGCTCTGACAGCACCGGCGGGCCCAGGAAGTACCGCCCGCCGGGAAGTGTTCTTCCCTCCTCCTCAGCACCATGGCTACCGTGTCTTCCTACCGCTGACCCTAGTCCACGGTTACCTCCGTTTCCTTGCCCCCCGCCCCCACCCCATCCTTGACGGCTAGATTTAAAAGAAAATCTCTTGATCCTGGCGCTCAGTACAGCGTCTGGTCCACAGTATATATTCAACAAAGATTTAATTTATTAACAATGAATGATTAGTAGCTAAAAATGAATAAAATAAAGCAATGTGGTTGCACAGAAATTACATAAATTACAAAGAAAGCAAAAGAGGCAAATAAATGATGAAGAACGATGATTTCAAAACAGTTAAAAATACAAGAGTATGAAAAATACGTGTTTAGGGGTGAAAGAAAAAATTCACATTAATATTCTTAATTCTGAGTGCTTCTGAAAGGTATCTTGTGACTAATAAATGGATATCATGTATTTTCTACGTTAACAGATTTGCAAGTTTAAAGAAAAAGGGGGAAAGACAGATTTCCCCTCCAATGCTTCCTTTTTCACCACGGCACTACACCAGAAACCTCCCCACCCATGGGGAGAGGCAAGCTGCTTTCCCAGTCCCACTTTTCTTAGACGTCACTGCAACAGAAAACACAGGTAAAGCCTTTACGGATAGATTCTGGCCATGGAATTTTACTAGACACAATGCTGTTTGAGTCGGGGAGATGCAGGCAGGTAACAAACAACTAACATCTTTCTTTTTGGACAATCTCACTCCCTTCTCCTTCGTAAGAGTATGAGGACCATCTCATGGGCATTAGTGAACACAGAATAGTGTGGCCTACAACAATACCTTGTGTTCTCTTCCCTTCCTCAACTGAACAAGAGCCCCTAGCACCTTTCGTCCCTACAGATGACGAACCAAAGCAGCCCTCCCACAGACAACAGCGCTTCTACCAGAGGGTTTTCAGGCTTTTTCTTTACGTCACAATGTAGAATTAAAAATACATGAAATATTCATGTGGTTTGAAATTTAAAAGGCACAGAAGTATACAGTGAAAGGCACCCTTCCTTTCCTGCCTTAGCTCCCCACCCAGAAGCAAATCTTTAAAATCTGTTTTATGCATATACCATTAAGCAACTCACTACACGCATTTTTCTTTCCCTCTTTTTTTTTTCTTTTTTTTTTGCACCGGGATTAGAACACCAGTGAAATACGTATCATATAGTCAATGGGCAATCGGTGGGACCCACTGACACAAACACCAGTTTTCTATCTAAAGCTGCTCGTGTCTCTGAACGCCGTGAATATTACTGCCCATTCGGGTGTCCCTAAGTAACTACTCACATTGGCTGAATCTTGTTTTTCTGCTTTTGCTCTTTTTTTTTTTTTTAATTTGAGATATAACCGGAAATTTTCTTCTAAATAGTATTCTAAATAGTAACAGGAAATGGACCATTATGGACACAGCATCAGGACATTTTTTAAAGAGCACCTTTGTTCTGACAACAGTTCTCTGCCTCCAGCTCTGCTCAGGCCTTTGCCGGTTCCCCGGGGACCCCCGGGCACCATCAGTGCGTGGCGCTGGGTGCGGTTTTGGCCGCGCCGCCGAGGGGAGGGCGAGGGACTCGTCCACTGGAGGAGCGCTGATCGAGGGATCCGAGCCCCAAGCATGGGAAGAAGCTGAACACACATTCACGTCCCCGCAGGGCTCACATTGTAGTGAATGAACAGTTAAACCAACGATCAAGTTCCTGAGGCTTCCTGAAGCACACGGCCGAGAGCGTCTTCTCACTGAGGCCACTGAGAAGACACACCCACTCCGCTCAGACACAAATGGAGAACTAGAAGCACTTTGGTCAAAGTTCTAATGAGTTTATTCTAAGCATTTTTTATACACACCACGTAAAAGAGGAAATGCCATTTTCTCTCTCGTTTCCCTTCCTTTACAGTACGAATAACAAAAACGTGAGAACATTAAACAGTCCTTCTCAGGAATTAAACGAAATAAAAAGAGGTCTTAGACTCTATGCATATAGGAGTATTAAAATAGGTGATAAATATCACTTATTTATATATTTGTTTATAAAAAGAACAAAACCCAAAACTGCAAGTTCAGTTAATATCCAACGACCGTCTGTACTGTCAGTTTGGAGTCAGTCCAACGAACAAATACAAGCTGCGAAACAGGGGGTAAACGTTACACAGCACGGGGAGGCATCTGCCACATTCAACATGTAAGAATGTAACACTTAAAAGACAAAAACAGACAAAAAAGTATTTCCATAAAACCAAAAATTAGCTGTACGACAGAATATGATGAAGACAGAGATACACAAATCTGAAAAACGTGTTCTACGTAGGAAAGTACATGTTTGCTCACAAGAAGAAACAAATTTCAACCAGGAAACAAGGAGAAGCCCAAGGACCCCCTAAAACCTGGTCATAACGTGACACGCTAGTTCCCTACAGGAAGATGTAAGTATGAGTAAAGGCCAAGCATATGGCTGAGTCTTCCTCTCAGCTTCCCAAACGCTGTCAGACACACGCCACTGGTGGGGACACCTCTTCCCCATCAGCACTACAGCCCGGTGTGTGACCGCAGAGCCCCTCCCGCACACCTCTGGGTCCTGGGGTCATTCTTACCCACCATCCTCACTCTTTCCCCGCCAACCCCATCCTCCCCCAGTTTCTCCCCTCTTCTTAACCTTTTTTGGTGGGGAGGAGGGGAAGGACAGGAACACAGCCTGTCCAATTTCTCACTCTAGACTTCGCCTAAATAGACGCACTGCACATTTCTGTAAAACCAGCTTCTGTAAAACGAATCGAATGCGGCGCGTGGAACACGTACTAGACACCACCAAAGTGACGGCACATTACATTTCTCAGAACAAAGTTATTTGTATCAATTAAGAAACCAATACATAAAATGTTTGGCCAGTAACATTATTTTGCCCAACAGGTTGTTAGTGCTCTAGTTAAAAAAGTAGTATGAAGCATAGCATTACCTTCGTAAGTGTGATAGTTGTAGCAGGCAAAGTGATTCCTTCTCCCTGGGATTAGAAACACATGCACGGGACCCAGGTGAAGGCAGCATCGGCAGGACAGAGGCCATGCAGAACACGCGGAAGAGGGAAGGAGGAGAGAGACAGGAGAGGGTGAGCTGCAGTGGGACACCTTTCAAAGGATGAAAAAGCACGTTTCACCCATAGCTTTCGGAGCTGTGGGGACAAGACAACAGCACTCCAGGAGGGTGTGTGTTAGAAACCAGTGCACACTGTTAAGGAAAACACCAAGACAAAAGGTGAGTCCCCAGGCAGCCGGAGAGCAAAGTTAGTTCATCATCTAGAAGACGACCACCAGCCGGAGAGCAAAGTTAGTTCATCATCTAGAAGACGACCACCCCACTCGGCTAATGCCTTCTGTTAGAAGAACACATTCAATTCCAAACCGAAGAATTCAATGACTGTTGACCCCCATTTCTCCAAAAGACACACCCACATCTCAAAAACCTCTCGCCTACCGCTCCTGCACCTTGGCCCGACCTTGAGTGCTTGCTTGGCTGGTGGTATGCCCCGTGGAAGGACAGCACGTATCTGTCCAGACAGATCAACATCTGCTTGCGAGTGGACGAGGCAGCCGGTGTCATCCAGCAGGCTGACTGTGCTCAACTGATACCGACGGAAACGGACAAACACGGCACGGCCGGTGAGCAGAACGCGCCCGCTCTGACCAAGACCGCGCCCAGCCTCCAGGCCCGCCACTAAGTGCTCCCCCTGCAGCCAGTGGGCGCCGAGGTGCAGGACGGGCCCCTGTGGAAGGACCGGCAGGGCCGTGGGCAGCGGCCCCAAGCCCTCGGAAGGGAGCCAGGCTGCGGGCGTCCCTGCGGGATCTTGCTATGGGGGCGTGAAGGCCGGCGCTCCCCGCTCTCCTGAAGCAGCCGGGCGGCGAAGGCTCAGTAAAGCAGCAGAGCGCCGCGAAGGGAGAAGCGTGTTAGGAGCATTAACCCGGTATCTGGTACAAGGACTCGAGAATTCATTTTTATCTATGGCCTGTCATCCTTCCGCACCTACAAAAGTGTCTCTATGTGTTTTTAGCCGGGAACACAAAAACATGAAATAAGCCGTCAAAATGGCAGTTCTCAGTAGAATGGAAGTTGCCCAGGCCGGCGGGCTTCACCTGTTCCATCGCTGCCCCACCCTGAAGGCCCGGGGCGGGGAGGGTCTGACACCTAAGGACAGACCAGTACTCGTAGGAGAGACGGAGGACGGACCCTCAGCCTAAGTCTGCGAGCCGGGCCGACCACCTTCCCGCTACTCATCTGAAAACTGCTGTGCGCAGCGGCTACTCAGCAGTTCTAATATTCCTAAATCCTCAAAAAACTTGGAGAAAACAATCATTAGTTTCCAGCGTGTAACGCGAAATTTTAAACAGCAGACCCAACGCCCGAGGACCCCGAGCGCCTGTCGGCCGCGGCGCAGCAGCGGGGCCTCCGCCGCCGCCGGCCCCAACGGCCCCGGCTCCGCAGGCCGCAGGCCGCGGCAGGACCGCACGGCCACCCAAGCACCGTGAGGGCGTGAGGGACTTCTCCAGCCCGAGAACCAGGGACAGCAACAGGAACAGCCAGCCTGCAACACCCCTTGGCCGGACCCGGCTGCACGCGCAGCACCGCACCGCGGACTGGGGGTCACAGCGCGGGAGCGAGAGCAGCGCCGCGGGGGCCATACCAACCCACCCTGCTTGCGCCGCTCGCCCGGAGGAACGCGGGCGCCTCTTCTACGCATCAGCTCCGAGCTCGTCCACAAACACAAACACCCGTGGATCCCGGAAGAGAAACACGTGGCCCAGTCCAAGCAAGCACAGATGAGCTACACAAACATTCTGGCTTCCAGCTTTTTCTGTCCTAACTGAGCTTTATCTGAAAGCAGTTCCGGGGCGTCTGGGTGGCTCATTCAGCTGACCGTGTGACTCATGACTCTGGTTCTGGTCCTGATCTCAGGGTCCTAGGATTGAGCCCCACATTAGGCTCCCTGCTCAGCCGGAGTCCTTTGGGATTCTCTCCCTCTGCCCTCCCCCTCACCACCCCCCAAAATTAATAAATATGTCTTTAAAGAATAAAAACAACAAATAAAGGCAGTTCTGGGAGGGAGAGCTCAATGCTGCGTTCCTCACAGCATTTCATAATACAGATTACACACTACCATTTGAACCAAATGAAGAAAAATGATGTCGTTTATCTGAATGATAAAATATCATATACATATATACATGTCACATCTGTACACTACATTGGGATACGTGTGGGAAACACTTCTCCACGAATGTCAATGTATTTCTCTACCCTGTGGCTAACTTAGAACAGCTTTAGCTTAATTAAGAGAGCTCTAAAAAGGAATATTTAGAGGTCTAACATGAAAATAAACTTAGTCTATTATTATTTTAAAACCAAACAAATGTTCTTCCTCTTACAGATGGATTTCTTACATGTACTGTTAAATTTAAAGATACTTTTCTAGACACTGTTCATACACACAAACTTGCTTCTACTAAATGTGTCCTAAGAGTATATTTCAGTGTGTCATTTTTAGTATTTTATAAAGTTATTTGAGAAAAAAAAATTTTAAATGGACCATTTAAACTTCTCCTTCAACTCTCCATATTCACTTATTTTAAATTTTGTTTTCAATATTTATTTCCGTCCATGTAAACCCTATTTTTATGCCTACAAATGCATATCCTGTGACCTTAAGGTTCTGGTTTTTTTAATGTCATCTTATAAGAATAACTTAAAAAAAAAATAAATGGCCTAAAAAAAGGTTGTCAGCCAATAGAAAGGATACTTCAATAAAATTCATTGAAAGTATAAACATCTGAAGCTAAAACAATGTTTACTGATAGTATTTCTCACCTGGGCTTAGCTCTACTAAATAGGGCAGCTTCTCGGGCGGAAGTGCAGAGCCATAGCCTGACCCCTCCACTTTCTCCTTGCCCTTCGCCAGCTTCCCATCGACGTGTTTCTTAGTTTTCTTTGGGATATAGTCTGGTGGCCTCCTCTTCAACTGAAAGACTAAAACCCCTAGAACAGTGCACATGGTCAATCATCAAGCAGACTCAAATCAGTATACAAGGCCAAACGACTCACCGTCAACTCTTCTAAGATCTACCAAGAAAATGTAATTTAACATCTCCCAAGGAGTGACTAAGTGAAGGCTTACCCAATTTATACTTTTACTCTGTAGAGGAAATTTTAGTCACTCATGTTCTGAAAAAGTCTACCAGCAATTTCCAAAACTTATTTCAAATCAACTACCTTGACTGCGAGCACATCACGTGCTTGAGAACGACACAGCAGCCATTTAAGACCCAATGAATGTCCACACTGGCAAATCGCGCTGTGGTCAGTGAGCGCGCACACACACACACACACACACACGCATCTACACAAATATATTTCCAGTTCATCTGATTTTTATTTAATCCAACTGAAATAACTCCGAATTCAAAGCAATTCAACTTTATAATACAATTTAACTTTTACACTGTCTAGAAAGAGGTAAACTAAGCGAGTGTACTTTAAACTATCAGTGACACTACTGGCAGGACGAACAGGCAATCAAGTGTACGTCTTCACGCGGCCAAGGCCTCTGCTCAAGGCCAGCCACGTGCAGAGTGAAACTGAAAGCAAGATTCCATCTGAAACACAGCTTTCAACCTTCGCTACTCTGAAATAATTAGGGAACATGTCTGAATGCTGAGAAGTCTGGACTTCTCACTGGAAATGACTAAATTCCTGGATAATCTCTAAGACTGCGGATCTCCATGCCCGTCAAAAGCACTCAGGTGGACGGCCCCCGCTGCTGACTCACACAGGGACTCACACAGGCTGTCCCGGTGTAGGAAGAGAACCTTGTCTGAAAGGAACGGACAGGAGTGTGACCTCAGGACAAGGGCTCACAGAGGAACCATCCGGCAAGTCTAGGAAGGAGCTATAAAACCATACAGCAAACACAGATGCGCGTGCGCACACACACACACAAATACCGCCACGCATGTGCTCCTGAATCCTCAGCTGGACAACTAACACAACCAGCAGAGATTTAATGTGTCATATAAACAAATCTTTAACAAACAAAACTACCTTTTACCTTTGTCACTCGGCCATTCCCTGAAGATTTGTAAAGGGCACTCATCATCATCAAGGATAATTTCTTTAGCACCTTTTTCATCAGAATGCTGGGCTCCAGGAGGAAGCATAACCTGAAAGGGAAAAATAATGAACTGTGCTATGCTTAAAAATGAAATTACCAGGATTTACAAACCAGAATTTATTGTAAATAGAAGTCATGGTAGAATTAAACTGATCCAACACTAAACAATTCCCCAACTATCAACGGAAGGACAACAGCTTCCAAGAAAAGGCTTAGCCAGCTTATTGGGCCCTTTTATCTACCTGCCCCTCTGGCCCCCAGAAAGAACTAGTGCAGTAATTTTGTTTTTCAACAAACTCTTCCGGGGAAGGGTGGTACACAATGGTCAAATTGGGAGTAAGTTCTTAAGGAAAGATCACTCCACTACTGCTCCGTCTCTGGTTCCTAACCCACGTCTGCGTCATCAAATAACTGTTGCCATGGTCTCGTCTACTGTGGGATCTCGCAAGACAACTGGCACCTGACAAGGAAACAGCACAGCATTCTTTTTCTTACAGAGAATGTGTCTTTATGATGAAATCTTAATCAGACCATTTAGCTATACCACTGGGCTATTCATTCAACAAATGTTTTTAAGCACCTGTTTTAAAAGACTACATTCAGAGACACTCTTAAAATTTATAATGCTGCATTAATTTTTATGTTTCTATGGCAGCCAACAGTCTTCTTCATGGTCTGAGAAAGACCCCAGCAATACAGAGGAAAGATCTAGGAGACGGCAGCCCAATAATCTCCCGCATGGCCTGGACGTCTGCCCTCCTTCGTTCTCCTTTGCTGTTAGAGCAAACCAAAACGCAGTCACAGAGATTCAGGGAAGAAGCAAAACCACCGGCACGTGAACGTCATTCCCAGCCTACGGTACCGCAGTGACGTCACCTACCTACCACTCAGATACATTGTCACAGCCCCTACACCAAATGGGTCAGACCCCCTAGAGAACCCTGGAATTTCTCTCCACACTGCTTCAAGACTATCTGAAAAAGACAAATGTATTTTAACACACTGTCTTGCTAAAGTAATTAATCTTCCTTGTACTGTTTTGTATTGAATTTAGTACCTTGGGCTTAGAACACACATAGTTCAGAACCGATCTTCATTCCTCTTGTGTCCCGATCTTCATCAGGAGCCCTGGCAGACCCCAGACACGCCCGACTACTCAGAGCTCTGAGATGAAGCTGTGAGTTCCCCATGTCCATGCTCTGTGGAGCCTGAAAGGCTCGTCTCCCAGCGTCCATGTGTAGCTCAAGCACAGCTCCTCCAGGAAGCCCTCCCTGACCACCACTCTCATTCCAGGGCTCCCTGATTTGTAATTCTCATGCTTGGCTTTTCTGTCTCCCTTTAGTGTAAGTTCTTTTAAAGACAGCTCTTGCTTTCGTGACCTCACAGAGTACCTAACGAGTAAAAGGAACTTAAATATTTATTGAATAATAGCTAAAATAACAAATGAGTGAATGTGGAAGCAGTACCTATTACATAACTGGTAAGATGGTAAACCAAGAGAAGAAAGAATATCTAATTCAAGATTAAAACAATAATCAATTCCCTAAGCTTATGAAGTAGAATTTACAAAGACATAATAGAGCAGAAAAACCCAAAGCAGGACACCCTCAAAAGAAAACATCAAATGACCTCAAGAAGGCCAGTTATTACTGCCCAAAGCAGGCTTCTGTAACTTCAGGACCCTGATTTAAGGTGCCCTTTCACATCTGATTTTCATCAGTAAAAGTATGGAAGAAATTAATGAAAGGGAAAAAAATGATAAAGTTCATGACTAAATATTGTGTCGAATGCAACTTTATGTGGAACTGAGTATTATTTAATAGATTCACACGTGTTCACACAAAAACATTCCCTTGGCAAACACTTGCAACCCCAAGTGTCGGGTGCAAGGCTGGGTGCTGCTAGCGCAGTTCCTGCCCCAGGTGCCCAGAGACCAGCGGGGTGCAGCTGGAAGAGGGTCCGGTCTCCGCTCCACAAGGCAGGCCCTACGCACACTGCTGACTGATTTTAGTCTGACCAGGAACACTGTCCACAGCCACGACTAACCACAACCGTATGGAACACGCATCCAAATCCATCCGTCTCCACAGGCCCAGTCACTGCAGAGGCGGAAGTGTACTTCCCAGATAGACAGTGATGCTCGCTGTGGATTCCTCCGGAACGGGAAAGCGGCGATCTACCAAACCCAGCACTACAACACGGTTCTCCTCAACTTCGTACCTAACCGCCAGGAGGAAATGCACCAGAAGGTCCTGGGTCTGAAGTGTCTCCCCTTCAGAGGCAATGCCTGATTACCTTCATTACCTACTCTCCCAACCGCACCCCATGAGGCCCCCCCTCCCAAGTAGGGCAGATTTTCTGTTCAGGATACTGTTTCCTTTTCTATGAGCCCACTGAACCATGATCCCAGAAATCCCATACAAAATATATCTTTTATTTCTGGAGGCATCGCTTTCCCTTCTAATTTATCAATCCCATCTTTTACTCTCTTCTAGTGAGTCCAAAGGAAATGAAAGAGCGTATCAAAAAACAAACACTCTTTCCCCACCCCACAAAGAAATGAGCTTTGGGTTTTGGGGGGTTTTTTTGGTTCCAATACAGGCTCACTGTAAAAAACTGCAAAAGAGAAAAGCATAAGGAGGGGTGCCTGGGTGGCTCAGTGGGTTAAGCATCTGCTTTTGGCTCAGGTCATGATCTCAGGGCTCCCGCATCAGGCTCTCTGCTCAGCAGGGAGCCTGCTTCTCCCTCTACCTGCTTCTCTGCATACTTGTGATCTGTCAAATTAATAAATAAAACCTTAAACAAAAAAAAAAAAGAGAGAGAGAAGCATAAGGAAGGAAAAAAAAAAAAAGACCAAAATCCACTGTGAGATGACTGTTTTCACAATCGCACGTTCAGTAATGATCTTTATGCATCTATCCGTGGCACATAAGAGGACTCCTGAATCACACCTATATTTCAAAGTCTTCTGTTCTCCTTCCTCCCTCCAGGTACATAACTGGTAACCTGCTGTGCATTCTTCTGGGCATCCATCCTTCTCTGTGGTCACGTATGACAGACACAGACTTGTGTTATTCCGTTTTATTTTATGACGATTGTTTTTCCAAAAACGGGGTTATTTTACAAAATATGCATGTAGATTTAATTCATAACGTTTCATAGCAACAGGTACCCAATGGCATAGCATTCCTTTAGTGACGGATGTTTAGTTTTGCTTATTTATTACTGTGACACACGGGGCTGAAGAAACGTCCTCACAGACCACACTCAGGAAGGTACTGGCCATGTTTCAGACAGCGTGACTTTTACCACCTCCTTTACAGACACAGATTTCAGACTCAAACACTCTCCCCACTGTGCAGAGGGTGCTATGTGGGGTGACTGCACAGACACCTTCCAGACTCTCCTTCTCCGTCGCCCTCAGGATGACCTCTGCGCTAGACTCTACTCGGGGAGCCTGTGCCTTTCTACTTCTTGGCCCACTTCACCATTTTGCTGGAGGATGTCCTCTGCTACCTTTTTGAGAAAGGCTGGATGGGTGGCAGATTTTGCCTTGAATGTTCTGAAATGTCTTTGTTCATCCATCTAGCACGCGGCAGTCTGGAATGGAGAGCAGCTCACTGAGAGTTAGAAAGCGCCACGTCACGTCACGTGTTCTAGACTCCACGGTGCTGACACAATGACCGGCACTGGTCTTGCCCCCAACCTCTTACATGTGGCTACGGTCTTTTTCTTTGGAAGCATTACTCTCTTTTCTTTAGTTTTCTGCAATTTCAAAATAATACACCTTAGTCTGGCTCTTTTTTGAAGTAACTATCCCATTATTCAGCGGGCCCTCTTTGAGCTCAAAACTCAAACCCTCCAGTTCTGGGAGCCATTCCAGGACATTTCCTTGGTAACTTCCATCTCTTCACATCCTTTTGCTTTCTCCCTCTGGCCCTCCTTTAGCTAAGTGCCAGGCAGTCTACAAGATGACCTTTCTCATCGTTTCTCCCTGTCCTACACGTGGGCAGATATCTTGAACTTCCACCCCCTCCACTGGCATTTTTTTTCCTATCCCTTTTTTACTTATATTTTAAAGTTCCCGGTCTCCTTCTCCAAGTGTCCCTCGTGACAGCACTGTGGTCCTCTCCAACGGACCCACGGCCTTCCTTCTCCCTCTGAGTCACAGTTTTTCTGAACACTTCCATGTGCTTTCTGCCGTCTCCTCCATGAAATATGACCAGGTTCTTTACTGTTTGTGTCGGTCTGTCTTTCATTTAAAGGGGTTTCCACTATGTGCGGAAGCTTGCCGTCTGCTCGCATTTGCCCGTGAGGCACAGGGAAGCTCCAGGCGCAGGGCAAGATGACCGTCGGGGGCCCTCTGAGCGAGGTTCCCGGGCTGGACTCCCGTAGGCAAGCGTCCATACAGACCCTCCTCGCAAGGCCGGAGGGTGCCTTCCGGGAGAAAGCCTCCGATCTGCTGGCTGTCGGGCCCAGGGCCGAGCTTCCACCTCAGCCTCCCACCTGCAGGAAGACCCTGGCCGTACCCTGCAAGGCCAGTCACTGCCCAATGCAAGACCTCCTTCCCCGTCTCCTTTACCAAGCCTTCAGATGGAGAGACGGCAGGGAGCAGGGATGGGGAGGCGAGCTGGTGCGGTCTATCGCTTCCTGTGAAAGCTCCCAACCCCCGTTTCATTTTCGCCCTGCATCAGTACTGACTCAGCAAGCGCTCCAGCCCCTCATGCCCAAGTCTGCTGGGGACTGAGGCAGGCCCCTGGCCGGTGCCGTCTTGCTGCGTTCTCTCTGCAGCTTTCCCAGGGCCCAACCAGTCGGACACCAGTCTTTACTTCTGCAGAATTTCATTCCCAACTCTGTTCTTTTGCCATCTCTCCTTTCTCTTTGTTCTTGTGCATTTATACAATCATCTTATTTCTTTATTGTCATTTCAATGGGAAAAATGTTTTATTTTCAGCTAACAACGGAGCTATATTCATAAAATTACAGATCTACCAAACAGTCTTTCCAACTGAATATAACTTCTTAGCTTTTCAGCAGAAAGATAAAAGCCATAAAAATCAACAAGCCCTTTTATTTAATTTCATCTATAGCTAACAAAAGAGGCCTCAGACCTCTACACTGAACGCTACAAGATACTCCTGGGACTCAAAAAGACGGCACCAACGAAGGGGCGCCCTGTGCTCACAGCCTGGCAGACAGGACACTTGAGGGTGGCCGTCTCTCTGACTCATCTACAGAACCCAGGCAAACCCCATCACAATTCCAGCAGCTTCTGCATACGAACTGATGAGCTGATTCTGAATTTATTCAGAAACACAAATGACCTAGAAAAATTGAAGCAATTTTTAAAAGCAAAAACAAAACAAAAAAACAAAATTGGGACTTACTTTACACAGTAAAACTTTAGGACTTATTATAAAGCTACAGTAATCAATACAGCTTGACGCGACCAAAAAGATAAAAGACGTGCAGATTAACAGAACAGATGACAGAACTCGAACCATATATAAATATATAGATAATTACTTATATATAAATATATAATACATATAAATATTTATAAATTTATATCTACACATTATATATAAAATATATAAACATATCTACAAATATGTATAATTATTCTGTGTTATATACAATTATTCTATGTTATATTCTGTGTTATATATAAATTTATTTATATATATTTATAAATACATATAAATACATATAAATAAATACAGATCCAACTATATTTTCAACAAAGGTGTCAAAGCACTCCAGAGGAGAAAAGAAAGTCTTTTAACCAACTGTGCTGCATCAACTGGGAAAAAATGAACATCTACCCTAATCGCACACTGTACACAAATGTTAACTTGAAATGGAACATATAGACCTAAGTGTAAAAACTAAAGCTATAAAACACAGGAGGAAGGGCACCTGGGTGGTCAGTTAAGCGTCTGACTTCTGCTCATCCGGCTTCTGTCCTGGAGTCCTGGGACAGGCATCATCCAGCGCTGGGCTCCCTGCTTCTCCCTCTTCCTTTGCCCCTCCCTTCCGCTCCTGCTCTCTCTCTCTCTCTCTCTCTCAAATAAATAAATAAAATCTTTAAAAAAATAATATTAAGACACAGGAGGGAAGTATTTTCAACCTCAGAAGAGGCAAATTCTTTTATAGAACACAGAAACAACAGAACGCTTAAAAAAAAAAAGAAAAAAGGTTGACTTAGCCAAAAGTAAAAAAAACTATTCTCTAAAGGGCATCATTAAAAAAATGAAAGGCGAACCAAGTCACAGACAGGGAAAAAATATTCACAACAAATGTATCATACAAAGGGCTTAACATATATATATATCTCAAGAGGGTAATTAAATAACTTTTTTAAAGATTTTATTTATTTATTGAGAGAGAGAGAGTATGAGCAGGGAGTAGCCCGATGTGAATCCCAGGACCCTGGGATCAGGACCTGAGCAGAAGGCAGATGCGTAACCAACAGAGCTCCCCAGGAGCCCCTAAAAATGTCTTCCACAGTGAGCGAGCACGATACCCTATCCGAACGGCTGGTGTGCAAAGCGACTGAGCACATCTGATACGGTATCTCACCAGCTTCTGGTGCACATGGCACACGATAGTCAGCTTGCAGTACAGTTTCAAAGTTTCTTAAGAAGTTACACAAACACTTCACTCAAGAAAAGAAGTCTGTCCGTGAGAAGACCTGCACCCACACACTCACAGTGGCTTTACTCTCGCAGCCCCACACCGGAAACTGGAAACAACACAAGTGTCCGTCAACAGGTTAGCAGATGAACGAGCCTGGAAACACCCACATAACGAGCTACTGCTCAGCAACAAAAAAGCCGCAAGCACGGGTCCCCGCAAGCACACTCGAAACCAGTATGCCGAGCACAAGCAAGCAGGCAGGAAGAGGACACGCTATATGCTACTTACATAAAAACTCTACAAAATGTAAGTACTTCCTAGTGACAGCAAACCAGGGGCGGCCTGGGGAAGGGAGACGAGGAAGGGATGAATGACAGAGAGGCACACAGAGATTTCTGGGGGTTACGAGATGGCCCTCCACACTGGTACATCCGTCCCAGTGGGGCCGCAGAGGGCAAGTCCATGCCGTTCCCCGCACGGCAAGCATTCCTCCATAATCCGGGCAGGGAGGGGGACTGAAACGACGAACCACACTCTTTTATGACTTAGTCGTCGACTGCTAAGAGGAGGAAAGGCAGACATCTCTAGGAAAACCCCAGTGCCAATGCGACTTACCAGGGAAGTCCTGGTGATGAAGTCAGCACACACTCATCACTGACTTTGGGGTTAAAAATTGTCCAAGCAGTCTGTCTCAGAGAGAAAATCTGCTTGGTTTTGCTTAATATGACCCACTCAGTTCTGAGGAATAAGAGCTCACTGTGTGAAGCTCACTGGGTGAAGATACACGGCCTTCATCTGCACGGAAGGACGGTGAGGGCTCGCGGCAGGCGCCCAGTGCCAGCCAGCACAGCAACCAGGGTGTTTGCTCAGAAGGGAATCTTCATGCTGCGATCTTAGTCGACCGTTAGAAAAACCCTTAGATATGTTAAGTTACCTGCATACACGAAACAAGAACTAAAAAGATATATATCTATGTATATATACAGATAAGGGTTATCTTTTGGTATTAGAACTATGGGTGATTTTTATTCTCTTCACGTCACCTTTCTATACTTTCTTCTTCTCCTTGTATTTATTTATTACTTTTGTAACAGAGGGGAGAATGTTAGTTTTCTATACATATTTAAGACAGGGTTTCCATTCGTTACATCTTAAATGACACTACTGGGAGAGAACAAGAATACCTTTAACGTCACCTACAGAGCAGATTTCCGCTGAAACGTGACTCGTGGCCTGCGTAACGCCGGTAAGCTCTGACCTGACAGTCACATACAGTTACGTACCCGGGCAATGCAGTAATCCTTTGGGTTTTCTCTCTCCAGACCGTATTTCTCTAAAGCTTCAGCCACAGCAAAGTCTGCAGGGTCTGTGGTAGACAGCAGGATTGTCTTGTATGGAATATTTGGTTTTAAACTATCTGCATAAATTCTCAATGTTCCACCTGAAAAAAACATTTTGACATCTTTGAGCACTACTTTATTTTATTCCAGTAACAAAAAAAGCTAACGTTCATGATCACTTAAAAAAAGGGGCACCCAAGTTCCAGGTGCAAGGCGCACGAAGATGGAATCTGTGTAGTAATTCTATATTTGTGTCTGGGAGACAACATGCAACAGCAGTCCCTTGTTGGTCTAACAACCTTCTGCGACACTGACCCACCCGGTATGATGAAGACGGTTTCTGTCCTCTCCTTAAGCCCAAGCAGTTTTTATGACGATGAACCGATGCCCACCATGGGTCCAGGGTGACAACGGGAAGAAACTCCCGAGAGCTTTGATGGTGCTGCCCGTGAACACGTTTAGCCACACACACACTCACACAGACCGCGTGCCCCCAGGTCCCAATACCAAGGATACAGCGATGAACAGGTCAGCGGGGACGGCTTACTGTGCGGCTGTGGGGCGCAGGAGGAAAGGAGGGACAAGGGAGCAAACAGGAAGACAGTGGTGCATGCGGTGCAAACGCAAGCAGGGCTGTGAGGAAGCGAATGACCAAGAGCCTCCTAAGCGCTGGGACTGTAAAGCCTCTACGAGGACGAGCAGCCACCAGGAGCCGAGCTGCAGGGGCAGGCAGGGGCTGGCGGCAGCCGCAGGGGCCCCTCGAGCGAGAGCTCCCGGGCGGAGGGACTGGCAGGTGCTAAGGCCTACAGCTGGCGTGGGTCTGGCTGGGCTCACCGGCCAGAGAGGAACCCCAGGTGAAAAGAGGGAAATGCAGTGAGACTGGCCAAGGGCAGGTCACACGGGCCCTCCTCGCCCGCCATCACACGGGCCCAGGCCAGACCACGACCCTGAGAGTCTGGGTCTGACTCTAGTGGAAGCGGGAGCCGCCGGGAGGCTCTGGCTCCGTGTGCGCACACACGGAAGAGCGAGCTGCGCCCGCGTGTGGGGAGTGGGCAGGTCGCCCCTCGTGCTCTCCTGGGGCAGGGGTTTCTGGGGGCTGCAGGCGGGAGGGCAGCCCTGCAGCGAGGCCAGTTCCGATGTGCGCATCCGGCTCCACCGAGGTGCGTCCCGCTGGTTTTACTACCTCTACGTCCAGATGCACACGGGAACTGACTTACTAGAAGGACGTGGACAAGAGAATGAATGAAAACAATCCTACAGGCTGAGGTAACATCTCCGTGTGCTTTGATCAGACAACCAGAGAGCAAACCAGACTACCTGTTCGGAAAGCGGAGGAGATGGCTACAAAAAAGGCAAATGGTCAGAAATTTAATTTTTCTAAGAAAATTTTGTATCTGCTAAAAGCCAAGGCAAGTACTTGGCAATCCCAAAGTCACAGACCGTAGAGGATGAAAGATGGCTCGGTCCGAAAAAATGTAAGGTCAGGGTTTACCAGAAAATCATTTAATAAGTCAGTAAGGTTCCTACAGACAGCACGCTTCCAGCGGCTCCTCTTCTAAGGGACACGTTACAGCACAGCCGCTGTAAAATTCACACTCACAGGCCAAATGAGCTCAGCTGTTGGGCAGAATGACTTCTAGCACCTATCTGAACGTCCGGCATATCCACAACTTGAACCGGTTTTAGTCTGAGCGCGGAATCAAATTCAAAGGGCTTTCAGTTGACAAGCCTAACACCGCAGTAGCCTCCTCGAAGAGACACACCCCCCCCCCAGTCTGCTGCGCCAGGAGAGAGGGGCAGCTAACAATTTAAACACCCTACTATGCACTGAGATCGATTTGCATGAACCTGCGCGTCAGATCTAAGACTAAGGCAGGGCTGCCACTCCACTCTGAGGACAAACGGCCAAGGCCTGCGGGTCTGTGGGACCCCAACTGTGGGATCCCCGCCGCAGTGCTCTGCCGCTCCCCAAACTGCTGGTGAGGAAGCTGAGGCAGGAGGACAGACACCTAAAAGAGCTTCGGGATGCTGCCAACGACGCCTTGGTAAGAAATCCATGGCCCTAACTGGTGGCAAAACACTGTGCCACGAACCAATTAACTGACAGACACAGGGCACTTCGGGGCCAACAGCACTCGGAGGCATTACAAGCAAATATACCCGAGTACTGAAGAAGGCTCACGAAGTCTCGGGTCCACGCTTCTTGCAAGCTGCGAGTCGGATCAGCTGTGTAGTGAGTCAGGTCATGAGAATTCAGGGAACCAATCCTCAGGCCAAGCAGACATGAAAATAACAGACGGGGTGGCGAGTCTTGGGAGCCTTACCCCCATGGCCGCGCCCCCATCTCTTCTACCAACCAAAGAGCCAGGCTAGTAACTCTGACAGGTTATGGAAATATATTTTTAAGTCATTTATTAAAGAAACAAAATAGCTGGACTTAATGTATTCGACATCCTTAGTATTAACCATAAACAGCTATTTTGCTAATATTTAGTTTTTTAGGGTTTCTTGGGACTCTATATAGAAAAATGTTCCTTCTGCTCCCAACTATCTCTTCAACCTCTACTTGGTAGATGTTCTGCTAGTTTTCCTAATTCTTTGGAGGTTTTGTTTTCCTCTTGTCTTTGCCTACTCCTCGTAACAGTAGCCTTCCCTTAAATTCTTCTATTACCTGTGTACTTTCTACCGAAAAGAATCTCACCATGTCCAGTGGTGCTGCCTGACAACCATAGATCGCTCCCAAATCTCTCTCTCCAGCTGACATTGTGACCAGAACCTGGTCTCGAGCCACTCAGCCAGCAGCTCAGAACATGCCCCAGGTCACACCAGCAGCTCCATGAAACCCATCTTCCACTCCCAAACGTTCTCTCACTGCAGTCCATCAGTATCCATCTGACTGGAGAAAGGTGTCGCAGTCTGGACCGTGTCTTGGTAACCCCACCTCTCGGGGCCTCGGCTTCCGTGTGACCAGCCTACAGCCAGCTGCTGTGCTCAGGGACCCAACCCTCACACGGGCAGCACGCGCTCACTTCCAGACGCAGTTCCATGAGATCCATCCTCGACTCTGCCATGGTAACCACTCCAGACCTGAAGCGAGGCTACATTAGAAACTTTCTGAATCCCCACCTTATAACCCTTCCGCAGCATACTAAAGACCACATCTAATTTCTCCATCCAATTTTCCCCATAAACATGGTTCTCTGTGGGCACAGCCTGAAGTGACATGCAGAGTTTCCCGTAACAATACACACATTACATCCTAGTCCACATTAAAAGCACATTTCTTCTAAAAGTATTTTACTAAGTTACTTACAAAAATGGATCCCCTCAGCTAGCGACGTTTCTCACAACTCACGCGTCCCTGAGCACACTTGCCTATTCCTCAAGGAATCACTGAGAAAATGATCATTTCGATCACGTCAAACTCCATCCTAAGAGAATCCCTCTGGGTCTGTCAAGCGAAAGGTCCTTGTACGTTAGGCATCTCTAAGCACTCCTCTTGTTCTTCCAGAAATTTTATTCCTTTCTTCCTCCTCTTTGTATTTTCTTTCCCTCCTCATTTTCTTTTTTTTCCTTAGGGCACACATTTCTAAGCCATTTCGAATCTTCCAGCAAACAGGACAGGACAGCTATAAACAGACGGTCACCTGGAGCTCGGGAGTGACGGGTTACATTTATCCATGGAACTAGGAAGCGGCCCGCTCTCCCCACTGCTCTGACTCATGGACCCTGCAGCTCCCACGGAACGTGTAACTGAGACTCAGTTAGAAGAAGGCTGAGGGCCCAAGTAAACACGTGACAGAGCCCATGTGGCTCCCCGTGGGGAACACATCCCTGACACAGCACCCGGTGTGAGTTCCAAAGACATGGAATCCCTGGCAGTTTCTGAGCACATCAGAGCCACGGTCCACAGACAACCCCAAGAAAGCAGACGATACAGGCTGAGAGAGAGACTGACACTCTTCACATGAACGTAATATGGGCGTCAACACAGCCCCCCGTGGGTCTGCCCTGCTGTCACACTCACAGACTGGATTACAGTTACGATCGTCATCTGGGTAGGGGTGGAAACCACTTGGGCTTGGACTCCAGAGAAGGGGTCCACCGTCAGAGAATCGCTGCGAGTCCCGATATTCAAAACCCTAAACCGAGTGAGTGAGCGAGCAGGTGCAGAGCAGACAATGGGCCACCAGCAGCTCCCAGTCTGCGAGCATAAGGTCGGGGAGGACCGCAGGGCGGCTGGGCCCTGCTCGGTCAGACACCCACACAGAAGGCCGGATCGGTGATACAGTCCTCACATATATGGCTTCTTTCTGAAACTCAAAATGACTATGCTATCCTTCTGTAACAACCAAAACTAACTGACAAGTTTCTAACAAATATTTTCTTTGCCGAATACAATTACAGGTTAATTACAAATAAAAGTTTTATGTCAAATAGCTAAATAGCTAAAAACATACATGCCCAATTTACAGCTCAAATAGTAAAGTCATCTGTTATAACTCTCTCTACGATGTGCTAGAGTCGTCTCTAGCAGATGCCCAGAAGCAGAGGAGACGAGGTGGGCAAACGTGTACGGAGCACGCTGCCCTTTAACTAAAGGGGCTGACGGGGACAAAAGCTGAACTTCTCTACGTATACCTTGTTTTGCAGATATGACTTGGGAACTACTAGGTACATGAAATTTTTAAGAAACAAACCTCTAAAATCAAAAGCAAAACAAAACAAACAAAGCGAAGTATAAATCAGTATGAGTGTCTGACCCCACAGTCAGGGATTTATACTGTCATTTCAGAACACAGTAATTTCATAGTGCACCTTAGTGGGCATACTCACAGACAAGTTTGCAAAAAAGCTTAAAATTTCTTCAGTATCACACTGTTGTTAATATTAGTATTATTTTTCTTTTGATATTACTATTTATCATAAGAAAAAGCAAATAATTACGTTATCAGTATTAGGTGCAAAGAATTTTTAACCTAAGTGAAAAGATACTCAGATCTTCTGAAATCAGAATAGTTTTAAAAAAAAACAAAAAAACAAAAAACAAACCCAAGGTATTAAAAGTATTTCCTAGCTCATCCACCAAACAGGCGCACAAGCAAACACTAACCAGGAACAAGGAGCAGCCCCAGCAACCAAATATTTGTCCCACTACAAAGAAAAGGAGCCCTTGGAGAGACAGCAGCTTCCTCGCTGGGGCAAGAAATGCACTGGGTGGGTGCACTGGACGTCCTGCCACACAGGGAGACGGAGAGCACTGCGGACACGTGGAAGCCTGAGGTGCCGGTGGAGGACACCTGCGCCGCCTCAAAGTGACAGCTCAAGAATCAGAAGGACAGTAACGGCAACAGATGGAAAAATACTGCCAAGTTTTAGCTCTACGAGTTCATGGAAACATTCCACAAACACTGCTCACCTGTGCTCACCTGTGGACGGTAACAGGGACGTATTTCTCCCATAGAACCCTAAAGCTGCATGTTCACGTGACTGAGGAAAAAGACAGCAGGAGGAGAAACGGCCGTCTGCAGGATGCTGTCCGCAAACTCTACAAGACCAACAAGCGCCCAGTGACGCATCCTGGAGGGGAGCTAAGAGACGGGACCGGAACCCAGAGTGACAGACACGCCAAGCAGGGGCCACATGCAGGTTCCATGCGGCCCCCGACGTGACTGGGCACTTCTCTGAGGCCATCGGCAACACGTGACCGACAGAACAGCAGACGGCACTAGGAATTAGCCTCAATTCTTTTGCACGTGACAATGGGACTGCGGTTCCTTCTGTTTTCATTTTTCAAGAATCCTTACCTCTAGGAAAATCGTGAAATGGAAGAAGAAACACTGAGAAATTTGGGATCTGCTTCAAAACCGTCCAATTTAGGAACAGGAGCAATGCTTGCAGGAGCAGAGACAAGACACGCGCCCTCCATCCCAGGCGCTGGGAACTGTGTCTCCCGTCTCCTTTCACATGTGTTTTCCAGAATTACAAAACGAAAACACAAGAAGAGCCACACTGGGGAAACTGTGTCACTGAACCTAAGTCTTAGGGAAGGGAACTCCTACTCCTGTACTTCAAGCCAAGCTGGGCCTGCAGCAGCCCGGCAGGGCGCAGGGCACCGGCAGCGAGGCCAGGCCCAGGGCCCTGGGGGCGGGGCCAGCAGCACGGGGAAGCCCGCCGTGGGTACCTGAGTCCGGCCGCCCGTCCGAGCTCCGGAACTCCTGCATCCTCCTTTCCAGCTTCTGCTGCCGGCGCCGCTTCATGACCACCTCCGGATTCGAAATCGTTCGCGTAAAGCTGGTCTCGGGCATGTCTTTGTAAACCTCGGCGGCCAGACGGGAATTCTCACTGGAAGACAAGAAAGGCACCGGCGGTCTTTTCTCAATGTTGTGTTGCAAAGAGCTGTGCTGTAGTCATACACGCACCCCCGGCGGACGGCCCTGGGGCTCGCCCTGTCCCACGTGCCACGGGGGAGTGACACGCTGACCTGTGCTGCGGGTACAAAACGAGGTTCCTCTCCTTACAAGCAACACACTAAACTAAAGGGAAACTTATCATCAAGATCTCCTGATGAGTTTGTGACTTAATTACTGTGCATTCACCAGTCAGTCTAAAAGAAAACTGTATTAATTACACGTCAGGAATTTCCACCAGCGCTTTCCTAAAATAGATAAAATGAGCAATACAACATTCCAACCATAAGAAATAAAGGAACAAATATACTTTTACTGAGTAAAACTGTCTTAAAATTACAGTAAATCTTGAGCTCAAATAGTATGGTTTTTTAACAAAATGATTTACCAACATTCACTTTCCTGAAGCTAAATTTTCAAAAGGAAAAGGAGTCGAATGACAAGGAGTCAACTGCAGAGAATGAGGACCGATGACTAAATTTTGATAAATACACTTTGAAGGTGTCATTTTTTAATCATAAAAATACTTTAGTTAAAACCAATGAAGCACTGGGGTGCCTGGGGGGTGGTGGGCACAGTCGGTGAGCCTCGGACTTCTGGTTTGGGCTCAGGTCATGATCTCAGGGACCTGGGGCTCCAAGAGCAGCCCTCACAGCAGGGAGTCTGTCTCTCTGCCCCTCCCCACGCTTTCTAACAGCAAAAAAATCAAGCTTTGAATCAGCCCAACTGAACGATTTAACTCGTTTTAAGTGACTAATTTTCTAAACACAGACAATATATCACCACGTAAACTGCACTGATAAACGGGACAAGCCACAGCCCATGTCTCAAATGTTCTGTCTCTGGCATTTCTCCTGCGCCAGCACTGGACTTCCGTGAGCTCTACTGCTTACGCTGGAGAGAACCTTACCACGTAACACTGTGCTCGACAGTTTGTGCTCATTACGCAGACGTCACTGCCTGAACCCACTCTGATGCGATCCAAAATGGACCCGAGTCCACTCTAAAGTAAACACCATTAACTAAGGAACGGTTAAGTGTCCTCAACAGATACAGAACGCTGTTGCTAACAAACAGAATATAGACGGTCAGTGAGTGTATAAAAAGACATCTGCCTTGTTAATGATAAAATAAATGCGAGCTATGGGGGCTATTATGCACAGTTCCCAGGGCAGGAGGAAGGAGGCAGGCCCATGGACTCCGGAAGACACTTCCAGGGGCAGCCTGCAACGCGTGCGTCCTCAGGCTGCCCGAGCCATGGTCCAGAGCGCTCCCAGAGCTGGAGAGCAAGGAGCCCATAGTAGTAGTGCTTGTAATACCAAAACACCTAGGAACTACCTACAGCACACAAAAAGGAGCCAGTGAGATAAAACTGTAAAAAAAAAACTGTGAGACCACGACATAATCATCTAAATTACTTCATGCTTTTATGACAATACATCCTTGTGAATGTATATATGCATTTATGGGACATATTCCAGTGGAAAAATGTCATTTGGAAAGCTCTAGTTTTAAAAGCCCGTAATTGTATTTTTTTAGTTTACAAACTCTACATAAACACATAAAGTATATATTTGTGTATGAAAAGCAAACTACAGGGACGCGTGGGTGGCTCCATCAGTGAAGCGTCTGCCTTCGGCTCAGGTCATGATGTCAGGGTCCTGGGATCGAGCCCCGCATCGGACTCTCTGCTCAGCAGGGATCCTGCTTCCCTCTCTCTCTCTGCCTGCCTCTCTGCCTGCTTGTGATCTCTGTATCTGATGAGTAAGTAAAAAGAATCTTAAACAGAAACAGTAACCAAAAAACCTACGGTTCTTTTTGGGCTCCTGTGAGGACAGGTGACTCCTCCTCTCTCTCTGACAACCATATGCTGACTTTCTGCCGTGAATGCTGTCACCTCGGCACTGGACGGACAGTGCAGACACCACGCTGCAGGCCCAGCCAGGCGACAAGAGGCCTCGGGGCAGCACACACCATGCCACGGGCCTAACGACCAGACTGACGCACGTGAAGACGGGCGGGACGAGGCCAAGCTCTCCCACCCAGGGGGAAGGTCAGCCTCCTCTGATGTCTTTCCTGTCATCATCAAGATGCAATGATTTCCCTTATTCCGGCAGCCCTGAGGTCAGAAGCTCAAAGGCCTTTTGAGAGGAAGTACATCTACGACGGGGCTGGTGTGGCCACGGAAGGAAGGGGAGCTGGCGGGGCTGGAGTCAACCAGACGGCGTCTGAACTGCAGCTACTGTTTGGGCTGTCCCTGCTGCCCTCAGGGGAGCGGTCAGTGGAGGGAAGGACTGCAGGACGGCACCACTGCCTTAAAGACCGAAACACCAGAGACGAAAGGCCAAAGATGAAGAAAACACCGACCTCCGTTGTCTACTCCGAGAAAACACGACTGCTCACCAGCGTGCTTCTCTGGGACTAGCAAACCCACGAGACAGGAAGGGTCGGCCGTCGGCCGTAACCCTTGCTTAGGTGAGACCCTCCCCCAACACAAGAGCCAGAGGCAACCAAATTAACTTCCCAACGGATGTGGACCCTCTTCACAGTTTCTCTGGTAATTTAACGAGCAAAGGGAAATAGAGATATTTCCAGAATTACTTACATGTCATCCCCCTGGAAAGGCCCATCATCCTTATCAGACGCCTGCCTCACTGCCTCTTTTTCTTTCTTCTTTTTCTCCTTCTTTTCTTTCTTTGAGAGAGTTCTCTTGAAGTTCTGGATAACACCTTCTTTCTCCTGCTTTTCAGGTCCGTTGCTTTGAGCCTTCTGGTGAAAGCAGCATCGTTACTATGACGGCTGGTACACAGAGTCACAGAAAGGTCTTTAGGCTGCGCTAACCACGTGTCGTGTGCTACCCCAACACCCAGCTACAGGAACAGGGAAAGGTCCGGGAAATGGAACGCGCTGTACCTTGACTGCGCTGATGTTACAAGCATGTATTTACAAAGCTGAGTGAATTATACATCCAAGATCTGTGTGTTTCCCTGTGTGTATATTTTACCTTAATTCAAAACTAATATGTAAGTAAACAGAAAACCAAACCCACTAAGAAAACTAGGGTAGGAATCATGAAATCTGACTTTCAATTAATAAAAATCCAAATAATTTACATAAAGTTACTTTTTTTAAAAAAGCCTAATCAAAATACAGAAATAACCGGGGTCCTGGGTAGCTTAGATGGTTGAGCGTGGCACTCTTTTTTTTTTTTTTTTAAGATTTTTATTTATTTATTTGACAGAGATCGCAACTAGGCAGAGAGGCAGGCAGAGAGATAGGAGGAAGCAGGCTCCCTGCTGAGCAGAGAGCCTGATGCGGGACTCAATCCCAGAACCCCGGGATCACGACCTGAACCGAAGGCAGAGGCTTTAACCCACTGAGCCACCCAGGCGCCCCAAGCATGGCACTCTTGATTTCATTTCGGGTGATCGTCTCAGGGTTGTGGGATTGAGCCCTTACACGGGACTCCGTGCCCAGTGCAGAATCTGTCTGTCCCTCTCCCTCCCCCTTTGCCTTTCCCCTTGCTCTAATAAATAAAAAAAAAAAAAAAAAAAAAAAAGGAAATAATGTTTAAATCATTATCTACTTCGTATTTAACTTCAAAACAAATGTTAAGCATACTGTAAGAAGCTGACTTTTTTAGAGCAAAATTATTAAGTACTGTTTTTGCTAAGACTTCCAATTTCTTTGCCAGATCTTATTTATCGGCTTGTTAATTCTTAATTCACAACATGGTCTGCTAGCAGATGACAAAGAGGCTTTTTTTGGGAGGGGGGAATAATTAATAGGCTGGTAAAGAATCAAGAAAAGCACGAAAGAATGGTTACTGTATTGGGAAATAAACTACCTTCTGTTTTATCTAAGTTAGCATTTCCATTTTCCTTGCTAGCCACTTCAGCATTGTCCTAACCCTCATAAGAGCTCTCATGCACATGGAAGAGGATCTCTGGCCCACTGCAAGGCACATCAGCTGAAATCAGGGGGCAGGAATGAAATAAAACATGGACCAAAAGAAAAAAAAAAGAGAGAGAGAGAGAGAAAGATGTCCGTTATTCCTTTATATGAATTTGCTACAAATGCCAAACCACTGAAGCATGTAACAAGTAAGGCCGAGAACAGAGTCCGTGTATCTAACACTCTTCTGCACAGAACACCGACATCACGGAAATAAAAGTAGAAAGTCTCTGTTTCCAGAGTGAACAATGACACTCTTTCCCAATCTGTTGAGGAAAATGATTAAACAGAAGATTTTTTTCAAAATATCCTTGACTTTTGCATTTGTTAAATACTGAATTCTAGTGTAAGGTGCCACTTGATTTGACACAGAGATGACAGCCGTTTTAGAGTCTTGTCTGTGTTTTGTAGTGCTCCGCAGAAGAACAGCGGCACAGGAACCCCCATCTCCCGACCCCTGAGAGAGTTTCAGCATCACTGCATGACCTCAGCCCAGAAAGTCTGCTAATTTCTAATCTTACACAGGGTATGAAAAAGGTTGAAAATGTGCCCTATTAAGTTGTATCTGAAAAATCCACGCATAATATGTTATTAAAGTTCTATTTTCCCTTATGATTCTTATTAAAACATATTCTGACTTTCTAATTTGGTAAAAAGCCTGGGGCTGATTACTTGATCATTCAATCTCTTAATAAAAAAAGCTTTCATAATGCTTCTTTGCAAAAGTAAACAGCAATATTGGGGATTATTTAGCAAAACAGGATGAAACAGAGAGAAGTAGGAGTCCTTTCCATTTGCTTACTGGGAGAAGGGCAAAAAAGTCATTTAGGAAAAGCAGCAGACGGGACAGGTCAGTGGAGTCCTCCCATTATCGTGAATCTGTCATTCACCATGGTCAGACCTGGACCCAGGATGCGGTCCGCATGGGACACAGCCAGCAGGGGACGTGGCCAGCACGGGACGCGGAGGGACCCTACCTTAGGAGGAAGGGCATCATTCTCATTCTTAAGAACAAATCTGCCCTCTCGATCATCTTTATTCCAATTCAACTGAACAACAAGGGGCTTCTCATCTATATCCAATCTTCTTTCTTCTTCAAATCATGAAATGAAAAAAAATTAAGTCATGGTTATTCACCGGCACCAGCTAATACAACATTCTCATATATGTTTAATTTATTACTATGCTAATCCCAATTAGCATATGTTAATCAGCACAACAAAGCTACCTAATGCTAATACAATATTCTCATATGCGTTTAAATTAAGATGTAAAATACTTTATTACCACAAGTACTTACTAACAGGCTGAAATGTCATTTAAACTGTTACGTGCTAGTTTTACTTACTTACTATTTTGTTGCCACTGTAATATATACTACCATGTACCCAGTGCCAAACATTGACCAGGGCTAATGTCCTTATGACATTTAGAATCCAACTGGGAAAATAAAAGAAATATACACAAACTAGGGGGAAAAAAAGTATATAGGGCTTTGCTATCAGCCTAATTCTGTAAATCAAATTGTCTCATATATGCAATTGGAAAATAAAGAAACAGTTTTAACATAACACAGGAGTTCAGTCAACCTGTGAGATTCCCTTCTCACATGAGTCTTAGTGACTGCTGTACTCTTCTTTCTATCCCTCATCTCCCAAGCTCACCAGGTCCAGCCCTCACAGCACCTCCCACCAGGAAACCACCATCCCATGTCCTCGTCGGGGTGAAGTGCTAGGGTTCAAATACTCCTCGCTTGCTAGGCATGTACTGGTCAGGATGGTGACGGAGTGGGCATCCTGAGGGCCCGGCACACCTTGGCCGCTTAGTAGAAGCCTACAGCTGGCAAAGAGCATCCACGTAACTGTAGAATGTCCACACTGAGGGCGGCAAACACAGGAGGTGGAGGCCAGCTGGAGAACCACCATGGTTAAAGGAAGCAGGAATGAACGGGACAAATTTAAAGGATAAAAAGACTTACTCAGGCTTTTAGTAAATACTGTTTATAAACAGCAATGTTAATTATAGGAATACAGAAATAACAAATTCTAATTTATTATTTTATGAACTGAAAATATGAGAAATGAAAGAGCAATAAATTAGGGCATGGATGAAGTTTGAAATTCCTGCTACAAACCAAAATTACCAAGTTCTTCTTGTTGCAAAATTTGTACTAGATCAAAATCCTTCACAGTGTATTTTTAGAGAAATAACTTTCAGAACAACTAAGTTGAAATTGTAACAGTAAAAATAAAACCAAGGGTGGGGTATTCTAAAGAACGTGAGCCTACTTATCAAGTGTAAACGCAGTCAGTCAGGGTCCTACTGCAACTTTATAACTTTAAAAATCTCTTTCTGCCTTAGTGGGTCTCACACCGTTGTTTTTAACGGCAGAACTCTGTTTAATTTCCCTGTTGATTTCACGTAAGGAATCCTGAAACACAGAAAGGAGAGGAGCGGAGTCTCACGGACAGCGGGGTGCGGCTCGGGGCCTGGGCTTCCGCACGCTGGACCTTCGGTTTGCAGGCACGAGGCGAGGGGCCCTCGGAAACATCAGGGAAACGAGGTGCACTGGGTGGGCGCTGCAGGCACTGCTAGCCGCAGGCAGCCCCTCGTCCACACCAGACCGCCTCGCCCCCTCTGCTAGCGCCACGGCAGGGTCAAAGCAGGAGTTCCGTGGTGCCGGACAAACCAGCGCTGCCCCAGACCCACGTGGACAGGCAATGAGGACACACAAACCCATCAGGGATGAAAATTTTAGTCTTCCCTGCATTTTACATGCACAATTTTTTCAAACATCTATCTAGTTGTTATTAGAGTATAAATACTTATTAACTTGTCTGAACTGAACTACTCAGTAAAAGGAAATGTTACGTATTTCCTTTGACCCCCAGGTGCTACTGAAAATCAATGACACCCTCCGGGCCCCCTGATCTGAAAACGGAGAACAAGCACACGAGGGCTCTCCCTGCACGGTAGGCACAGGTGCAGCCGGCTGTGATGAGCACCACGTGTGCAGGGACAGAGTCAGCCCGTCCCAGCAGCTCACCTCCGGGCGTGGGCGGCTTCCCCGCCTTCTCCAGACACCTTTATTGGGCACGCACCCCCTTACAGGGAAGACAGTTTACTTTTTAATTAAAGGAAATTTAAAAGAAACTTCATCAAAATCATTCCATTTTTAGATCTCAAATTTCAATCTTACGTATTATCCCAAACACTTCATTTGGTGAATTTCAAATGACCAAAAATTAAAAACACAAAAAGGTCTGAAAGTGAGAGTTATTTTCTTCTCGATAACCTGGTTATAAGGATTCCGAGGTAAAGGAAAAACTCAACCTCAGAAAAACCATCCAGAGGAAGTACCCTCTGTTGTGAGATCTAGCTTTGGCACCATCTGCATGTAGGATGCCCTCATGACGTCACCAGAGTAGTAAATGAGCCTGGCCCACCTGACATCCTACTAGAGAAAAGAGTGTGTGGTCATACCCAAATTGCACACAGTACGAAAGTGTTCCCCGAATTCCGCATGTACACAGAAAACTGTACTTTTGAAGCTGAGACAACTTATGTTCAAAGAGGGCTCGGGGATGGACTTGAACAGGTGCCACATTCCGGTCCGGATGGAACGTAGTCTTTCGCGCGCTCACTGAGAGCTGCCTTTTTTATAGGTGACTCAATACTTCCGAAGGACTCATAAAACTTTTAGAGATTTTCACATTTCTAATCAGTCTAACTTAAAATTGCTGCTTGATATAGATACATAGGATATTTTCAGAAACTTTAAACTTAATTAAAAACAAGGAGAAATTACTATCTACCTAAGACAATTTCTTCAAGATGCCCTAATTATCCCCAAAGAAGAATGAAAATATACTGCCTCACATTAGAAAATACTCATTTTTGTAAGACTGATGACTCATACTCACATAACGTCTATTGGGGTTAAAATGAACTGTCATATTATATATAATCTGCACGTAAGAGTTCCAAGAACCACAGCTCCAGAAGCAAGCAGCGTCCTGCGTCACCGGTGCGCGGGCGACACCTCGGGCTGCCGAAATTTTAATGAGGACACACCACGCTACATATCCCTGCTGACCCAGCGCCTGCACGCTACCTTCCCGCGGGGTCTCACACGGACATTTTGCAGACACGCCACACTGTGCCTGCCCCTCCAGAAAGAGAAGCTCCCGCGGGAAAGTAGGCTGTGACCAGACCGCCCCATGGACCAACAACGCGTCTGGGGAGCTGGGGAGCCCCCACCACTGCCCCAATGTGCGCACGGACCTCCACTGACGTGCACTTCATAGAGGGAGTACTTGGGGGACGATAGCATCCGCATGTCAGGCCGGAATTTCTCCGCCAGTGTCTCGATGACATCCTGGGTGGTAGCAGTACTAGACACCCGAATGCATTTCGTTGCAAAGTTTCCAGCAGCTTTATCTTGAAAATAAAATCTCATCACTCCATGGAACTCCAAATCCTAAAAGAAAACAAAAAGATACGATTTTGGAAAAATAACATTCTAAACTCCTCGGCCACCCTCACTGCCCCCAGCGCGACTGAGGTCCACAGGCTCATCGGTTCCTCCCACCATCGCCCGCCACGCCAGCCCAACCAGTCATCCACCTTCGACATACACCAAGGATCCAGCCACAGTCTCGTTCAAAGCAAGTCAGAGGATGTCACTCCTTCCCGTTACTCCTGGCAACGACCGTCCTACAGGCTCAAAGCCCATCACAAGTTAAGTTTTGCTCTAATTCCTCCCAATCTATTTGCTGATTCTTCACTAATAATTATGACCTAATAACTGCAATAGTTATGGGATAGTAAAATGTGGCTAACTGTATAAACCATATAAAAAGTAAAGAAGAAAATGAACACTGACATATATTTCTAACCCCAAAGCTTTACTATGCTTGCTCAGACCCTGTCAGATCACTAGGCAGTCAGTCCTACCCACTTCCCACTGCCCCAGGGAAATACAGGGTAAGTTAACATGTGTGTAAAAAGAAACACACACACACACACACACACACCATTGAAGCACAGATCTTGGGTTGAAATAGGGCCACTGATTATGGGGGTGACACTGAAAAAGCTTTATCAGTTAGCAAAATGGGTACTAACAGCCCTGCTCCGGTCTCTCAAAAATCCTATAAACTGCGTCTTTGTACAGCTCAGTTCAGGTGGCAAAGAAAGTCAAACAACATCCTTTTGGGAGGTTTGTCTTTTACTCTGGCAACCCTGGACCTCCATGAAGTAACAATACCTGTGGAAGACGCCCCTGAACTGTAACCACGTCTGTCAGCACAGCACCGTACCACTGTGACCAGCACCGTGAGATGCCGCTGAGCTGTGACCGTGCGTGTCAGCACGGCACCGTACCACTGTGACCAGCACTGTAAGCACAACATTCCCGGTATTAACAACAGCTCCTGCGTGCCAAGTACGTCCTATACTTCCTCGATGCCAAGAGCTGTCCGAACGCTTTCCCCTGCAGAGCTTCCCCAGCTCTCCTTTGCTGGCTGGCCCCTCCCCTCGCCCGTCCCCTGGCCTGTCCCTCTCAACATCCACATGTTTCCACTTAAGGTTACACTCTCCCTATCCACCCCCCCTCAGGTTATCCTAAGACGGCAGAGGAGGAAACAAGAATTACTCTACACCTTTAGTTGAATAAATTTAGGTCTCTATGGGAGTCCTACTGCGATCCCAGGATTCTGATGCTATCATCACCACTACCACTCTGAAATCACCTTTAGATTACACTAACGGTCTCAAACATTAACTGGCAAAACTACCCTGGCTCCTCCCATGCCTCATGCTTCATAGATGAAGTTGAACCAAAAAGGCAAAGTAGCCTCCCCCTTGATCATTTTGCTAACACAGTAATCTTCCATCATTGGCGGCACGACTAAGCCAGGTGCGCTTAGACAAGAAAACACCACTTTCTCTGGTAACTGTCCACGAACACCTCCAAGCTACCAGATGTCAAAGATCGGGGAGCGAATGCCCAACTGGGCAAGTACACAGAGGAAACCATCAAGAATGAATCTGGTACCACAAGCATGAAAAAGGGGAGACCCCTCAACCACCCTCATGAAAATGCCTTATGTACAGATTACTACCGTTTTTAACAGGAAACTACAAATACAAAATCTGTTATTAATGTGGTTTTGCTACTGATCTCACATAAAATGTTGAGATAAAAGGAAAAAAAGGAACAAACCCAAGGGCAGAGATCCAAAAAGCAACAGCATGTCTACAGAGAAATAGTATTTCTGTTGATGTTTTTAAAAAAACAAATCTCCAGGTTCTACAGCGAGCCTAAATAAAGCAGCCTACTAAAACTACCTTTGATTTCATTTGCACTAGATAAATGTTAATAAATAATAACTTAGTTTGCCCGGTTACCTCATTATCACACAGAATACTTGAGTATAGCTATTACTAGAATAACACCTGAATAAATTAATACATTAGCACTGTTTAATTATTCAAAAAATAAGTTTGGCCTGTGTGACTAAGTCCACAGAATTTTATCAGACCTGAGAAGATTGATAAAATCAAGTTCCTGAACCTCAAAGATCAAACCAACTGTAATAATAACTAATAGATATTAGTTATAATGTAACTAATAATAACTAACATATATTAAGAGCTACCGTGTGCCAGATACTAAGAGTTCAGCATTTAATTCCTCGAACATGAATTAGGTACTGTTATCATCCCAACTTTATAGGGGCTACGAAACAAGGTCCACGGAGGTTTTACGTCTGTCTGAACTCAGATCAAACAGCTTGCCAAGGAGCAGGGCTGAGACACAGACAGCATGAGCTGTCCCCTGAAACCGCACCTCTTACACCACCATGCCCTAACCCTCCTTCAAGACGCTTCATCTTCTAGAGGAAGATGGGTATGAACGTCTTCCGTTTCTTTACAACACATAGAAGAGGGGTTCCAGAAGAACAGTGAAGAGAAAGAATTCTGACACTCAGAGGGGTCAATAACTTGCCACAACCCCCGCCTAGACAGATCTGGCATCCGGATACAAGCATCTCAAAGCTCACTCTGGGCTCGGAGGCGAGGCTCACACTGTGCGCGGTGCCTGATGAATTTCTCTATTAGCCTGTGAGCCTGCACGCTGCGGGGTGCGAGGGACACCTGGAGTTTGCAGCAGGGCAGAAATGAGTTGGCTTTTCAACTTAATAGCTGTGTCTTTGAGTGAGCTCTCTGATATGCATGTGAGCTCCAATTTCCTTGATTATAAAATACAAATAAGCTTGTTTTGAGGAGTAAACTATATAAGGAATGAGCAATCAGCACTCCCACTAGACAGAAGCTTTCCTGAGGGGCCTCTGATTCATTGTTCTAGGCCCTCCCTCAGTCGCTAGTACATTGCTTCACACATAAAAATAACAACAAATTTGAGTCAAAACTTCCAATAACAATATCCGACTCTTCCAGCTGTGGTTTGTCTGTTCTGAACTGATAAGGGCTCTGGGACAAAACTTTCAATCTGTAATAAGCAGCCATGAAGTTTCAATGACAGGCTAACAGTTACAATTGTACAAAGACAAATGCTTCCTTAACGAAGTCCTTACACAAGCTACCCAAAAGACAGTAATATTTAAAACTAAAAAACACTGTTGTAGGTCCTCCAATACCTAAATGTACTGCCCACTTGCTAGCAGCATATTTTCAGGAAGACACTTGAGTTTGGAGCAGCCAGGCCAGTAACTGGGGTACACCAGGGTAAGCACTACCATCAGCTCCCGCAGCCACCATGTGCCAAGGGCAGTAATCTAGAGGCAGAAGATACAATGTATCACCTGTTATCCTTTCCTTACAGGTTATTTTTTCCTGGCAGGAAAACAAGTTTCTTTCTTCCCTAAAGGTGTATACTTACCTTTGTATAAACTTCTCCCTAAGAAATATCACCACAAGGATTATTACAATGGAAATGGAACACTCCTTGGGGTGGACTTAATGACAACCCAGAAACAAAACTATTTTAATATTTATCAGAAAGAACAGACCAAAAGCAACGACCACCCCAAACCGCAGAAGGCTGTATAATCAATTACTAGAGAGCCAATGCAAAGAACTAAGGGTTAAAGGTGGAGATTCACTTTGAAGTATTTTACCAATATCTTAATCAATGAAACTGATCATCAATTCGCCCTCCCCAAACCAGTAAAAACTCACCAGGGCAATCCTACATCTCCTTTGGCCCAAAGTACTCAGAAGCATTGGTTCTAAAGCCAACCGGCGGGCAGTGCTAGTCCCTCCCTCTCACTGTGACCGGCACTCGTGCGAAGCCACTTCCAGCCGCTGACAGAACACACTGCTTTATTACACACAGAAAATTCATTCCTAACGCTGGTGCTTCCAAAAATAGGTGCAAATGTTAAGAAAAAATACGGCTGTGCCTCAAAACACACACACATTATTACTACATAAATTGATCAACTAGACAAGAGCCATCTGAGTGATAATAATTTAGGTAGAAGATGGAAAAAATACTTGAATATGGGTTTTTGGAATCTTACTTATATAAACACTGTTTCTTAAACACCAGTACTTCAAGGATACTCTTCAAAATTATATGCATTTCAGGAAAGCTTACAGTAAGTAACAACTGTAAAAGGACATCCTGGCCGGGCTCATGCTTACTCCTCCCATGGCATTCATTCCCAGTGGGGCCCTTTCCCTGCCCTTCCGGCCTACTCCCCATGCCCGTGGGAGGGGGGCTCCTAAGAAACCCTACGTTTTCTTTTAAAAATATTATCTGTGTATTTCTTACCAAGTAGAATTCCCATCCAGTGCTACGTCAGTTGCAGGTGGAGCATGTAACAGCTGAGCTACACAAGTTCTCAGGCTCACGCCGCCGGGGTCCTCTTAGCCCTCACTTCACCTAGTTCTCCCGCCCCCGCCACCAGCTTGTTCTCCGTATTAAGTCAGTTTGTCCCCCTTCTCTTTGCTTATTCACCCTTTTCCTTTTCTGTTTAAAAGATTCTAAGTCACGTCTGCACCCGATGGTGGGCTCTAACAACCAAGACGGAGAGTTGTAGGCTCTGCCCACAGAGCCGGGCCGGCGCCCCCATTCTGTTTCTAATGGCACTAACTACAGCACCCTGTGAATGGTACCTTACAAGGTTTCTGTAAAAATTAAGTCAATGCGTTTGATTTATACTGAACCCCCTTCAGATAACTACAGAGCACAGACTAAGAGTTTCCTCTTGGGGCACCTGGGTGGCTCAGTGGGTTAAGCATCTGCCCTCAGCGCATGGCACGATCTCAGGGTCCTGGCATCGAGCCCCACATTGGGCAACCTGCTCAGTGGGGGGAGGGGTGCGGGGTCTGGCTCATGTGTGCGTGCTTGCTCTCAAGCAAATACATAAAAATCTTAAAAAAAAAAAAAAAAAAAAAAAAAAAAGCTTCCTCTCTTCACCTCCAAACCCAGCTCTACAGAACTGCTGC